TTAAAATTTGAAAATTTAGTTTGTCCACTTTTGGGCCGCCTGCGTACAAGAAAATATAATATCCAAATGTTTGATAATAAAAAAAATGAAAATTCGGAAAGAGGACTTCATTTCAACCATAATTCTGGTTTTGTTCTAGCAGATTTTTGAGAAAATGGGTTGTCCACTTTTGGTCCTCCATAACTGTACAATAAAAAAAAAAAACCCAATTTTATAAGAATGATAGGTAAAAGCAGTCATAACATAAACTACATTAATTAACAGTTAGCAAAGTAAAGTGTGTCTTGAGCCAATTATACCCCATCAGACCGTTCGGTTTCAGTGGCATAAAACACTGAGAATATTTTTTATCCCCCTTGGATGGGATGCCAGTCCAGCTAATGCCGGTACCCATTTATACTCCTGGGTGGAGAGAAGCAAGTGGGGATGACCGGGAGCTCAGTGTCTCTAGGTCCTACCGGAACATTACAACAATTCACAAATTCATGTTAGATAATCTTATTTGAGTTTTCGTTATGTTAAACACGTCTCTAAATTTTAATATATAATATGCTTTATTCACGAGTCGGACATAATCAAATTGAATTTTTTTTGTGAAATTTACTATTTTTGGAGCGCTACTGCACAAAGGATATACAATAACCCAAGATTGTCTCACCAGATAGGAAAAGACCAATGTCTGAACTAAGTATAGCCGAAGGGAAATTATTCTGATTGCCCTGGCAAGTGCCATTTCGGAGGGTTAAAAATGGGGTATAAAATGCAACTTTGCTAGTTGTAAAAACATGCTGTATTGTAGGGCCTAAAAATAATATAAAGGTGATTTTTTAGAAGTGTTTCTATTTTTTTCTTGTAAGGGTAAGGATGATACTTTGTAGTAATATAGTTACTTTTGTGACATTACTTCGCAGTTTGGCTTGATGAGCTTTGAAAATAACGCAAAAAATGAATATTTGCAGCCTCAAAATTGTAATTAACAAGTCCATTTTTGTTACTTGCTCCCCAAGTCCTTTCATCCCACAAAGTATAAAACAATTCGATTTTGACACGAAATGACTCTTTTAAGAGGTCTTTTAAAATAGAACAACCACCGCAATTAATTCCTATTACTATACATTTGTTGATTATTGTTAAATAAATTATTATTGTTGCTTGAGGTAACCGACACATTCTGTTTCAGGTGTCTTTGTTACGGGTTATTGTGCAATTAACAGTGGGTAATTTAGCGATCATTCACAATCAGCGGTATATTTTCACCAAACGGACCTGCATCCTTAGCCTTGAGGTCGCTCTGAGTGGTCTCTCGTCTAGGGCAGAGCATTGTTTTGAGAAGACCACAACCTAATAGGTGTCAAACTTGGTCCCTACAGACTTAGGTTGGCCCGGGGAGTTCACGCCGCACGTGCATTACTTTCGTTCACCGAACATTTTGTTTATCATGCAACACAGTTGCAATTAAGAGTAAATGTACCAGGGTCTTATTTAAATAAACAATATGGATTTGATTATGTTGAATACATTGCTTGCTTCTTGAAGGAAATAATGAAATACTATCTTTTTCTTTTGGCAAATGGTGTAAACATGCATTTCGCTTACCTACAGCTGCCACTTGGAACTTGCATCCGAAGGCAAGGAAAGCGAGGATGGCAAACATCACAGAAAAAGATCCCCCTGACCTTATGGTGAACATGGCGTCCATGACCAGTTCAAGTCTTTATTTAATCTCTCACTGACTAGATTCTTGTGTATTTTTCATTTTAAAACATATTCCAACATTGCTCCTTGGAGAGTGAGGAAGCAATTATAAGTGTAGTTTTTATATACATTACGTGAAGTCGATGTCACGACCAGTGCGTGTTTTTTTTTGGCGGGATAAATTCAATGTCAAAGTTGACTTCACATTAAGTTGCCATTTGACACCGAAAGTAGGCCTAATTGACATGACACATATTCAAAAGGCCCCCAATTTCCTTGTTGGCCCAACTGGCACTGTAATATTTGGTTGACTGTTTGACGAAGGAGATAGAAATAAATATATATATTTCCTGATCGACAGGGTACACAGACCGTCTCTGAAGATTTGGCAAGACTACACGAGGAATATAAAAACACTCATTACTTCAAACCGTGGCAACCGAAAGAGTTAAAGCGCTATGGAATGAAGTTGTCATGAAACAAGTTTGGCTGATACCAATCAAAAACTGAACACCCTTTTATTTTACATGATTGCTATTTATAACGTCCTGATTTTTTTTTACAGGTGAAATTTGATTAGGAGACTCACACTACACACAGTTTAAGAAATTGATGGTATAAGTTAATTAAGCTGCAGCAAAGTGTAAACTCAAAAAAGAATGCGTTCGCTTCGTGTCCGAGTGTCCACAACAGAATAATAGAAGACAGCAATTTGGTAACTTTCTGTACACTCTAAAAGCTTCAACACTGAAATTCGACCTTAAATATATCAAATAAGTAAACCACGTCATGATTATTTGCGTTAGCATATAATTTTAGAATCAGCAAGTTGTGGTCACGAAATATCCCTTTAATTGGCTGAACGACATTGGCTACTTAGGGCAAATGAGACACGCAGCACTCGTGGTCACGTTTCAATTACACCAAAACAAAAATGCTGTACAAAGAACATGTAGGCCTATGTCCTTCTTATTTCTTTCTTCCTTGGACAAGATGATAAGAACAGGAAGAAGTGTAATTCGCACGATTTAATATATCCGGGTTTGGTGCGTCGATCCCGGATCAACTGTCTCAACTTGGCACTTGGTTTATAATCAAAACAAACACAGCGTGGAAAGCAATTTTGTTTTAATTGTGTTGTTCGGTTGTTTGCCTTTTGAGATCATAAAAACGATGGTTTGGTTGTTGGCAACTGGGCCATTCAATAGAGCTGCTAAACATTAGCCGAGAACAGCTGTTCTGCTCAGAAAGAGAGTTGGTCAGCGAAAGAAGCCACGAGTGAAAATTTCGTGGGACGTGTATTGCTAATTACAATCGACTGGATCCAATTAAGCCGATTTGTATTGAGCAGAGGAAATCTCAGCAAGGAATGATTTCAATTTAAATATGAATAAAGTAAAAGATGCCTTGTTCTGTCCATTGTTATTACAACAGTTGTTCTTCAATCAATACAGCGGACAAGTGGACTTTTTTGGTTTCTGTTGTTTTTGTATTGTGCTTTGTTTTGACTCCTTTTCACTGAAACACAATCTTACATTAACACAACCACTGACGTTAAAATCATTAATCAAAAATACAATGCACAACATTGCTGGTTTTTTTCAAGTTGCGGGGCAAGCACAGTGTATGCCTATTTCAGTTGCACGTTTCACATATGAACGGAATTTCCTTGTATTCATGTTGGGGGTCAGGGAGCATATAGGCAACACATGTTACGCCCCAACTATGGTATCGGTCCCAACTATAGTTGGGATCGTCCCAACTATAGATAGGACGGTCCCAACTATAGATAGGACGGTCCCAACTGTAGTTCCATAGATGGGCTGGCCCAACTGTAGTTGGGGGTCATCAAGGGGGCCCATCTATAGTTGGGCCACTCCAATATTTTTTATTTTGCGGTGTCTCAACTATTATAGTTTACATTGATGTTCAACGATAAAACATTTCCTACAGCTCAGATACACGTCTGACTTTACTTGGGACCATTGAAATTAGCTATTGATGGGGGCCAATCTATAGTTGGGCCACTCCAATCTTTTATTTTTCGGTCCCAACTATAGTTTACATTGATGTACAACCATAAAACATTTCCTACAACTCTGCTACACGTTTGACTTTACTTGGAACTAATGAAATTAGCTATTGGTGGGGCCCATCTATAGTTGGGCCATGGCAATCTTTGAATTTTGCAGTCCCAACTATAGTTTACGCTGCTGTACGACTACAAAACATTCCCTACAGCTCTGATACACACCTGACTTTACTTGGGAACAATGTCAATGAAATTTGCTATGGGTGGGGCCCATCTTTAGCTGGGCCACGCCAATCTTTGAATTTTGCATAAAAAAATGTTGCTGGACTATAAAACCCAGATGGACAACTCATCAAACAAGGCAGTACCACGTTGCCGGCCAGCCCTGTGGCATGCATGCACGACGAATACATCGGGTGCCAGCGCCGCGGAACATTAACACCCTGTCTCGAGCGTCCGACGCAACTCCAGTCCTCACTATAGTTGGGCCGACCCAACTGCCGCACTATAGTTGGGACCGATGCAATAGTTTGGGCGTAACGGGCACAGTGGACAGGTCAATATTCGTGTAAACATCACGTGCTTTGGGCTGACCTCGCTGAATGGCCTTGAGCGTGCATGCGTAAAGTAAATGTCACGAACTTTGCTCTCCTGACCCTTGAGTCTGGAAAAACTGTTCACGGAAACACTTGTACGAGAATAAAATGCTGTTTGTAATACTGATTGCCAACTGAAAGCTCAAGAGTGTATTTGTATCTGATCAACGTTCAGCTGAGAGTAGGGGCGTACTGGGGGGGGGGGGGGGTGTCAGGGGATGTACGAGCCCCCCGCAGGCTGCACTCCCCATTTAAAATCTGGATATGAACACAATTATATATCACTTGCCTTCAGTGCCCCCCCCCCCGAAAAATATGTGCACCCCCAGTTTCCCCTTAGAAGTTACGCCACTGGCCGAGATGCCGATTTTCTTTATATGCCTGACACACCTTAGCACACAAATTAAAAAATGTTACTTCTGATGTGCCTTGCTTGCGCGTGGTGCTCTGTTGACTGTATGCACCCGGCATATTGAAATTTCGGGGGAAATTTGGTAACCCCCCCCCCCTAAAAAAAATCTCGCTACGCTACTGCACAAAGTGTTTACTGCCGTACTTTTTCTTGCTCAATTTTTGCTCAGCCTATATCAAGTATCCTCAAAAGTGACCAGGTCACAAGCGGAAAACAGCAAAGATTAATAACAACTTTATTACTGAATTAAAACAATGAAAGCAGATTGTCTGTTTCTGACTGTCTTTATTACAAGCGACCGAATGAAAATTATTTTTAGGCTCAACATTTTGTTATGTCTAGCATTATAACTTCCAGTATTGGATCTAGGGGTGGGTTTTGCAGCCCCCCCCATGCTAAAAGTTCCTAAATTTACTCTCAAATTGCCTTACAATGCGAAAGAATTTATGTATAAGCTGTAGCAATCATTAACAGACTCAAAATATCAATTATGTTAAAAACTGGAATATGTTATGCATACTCTATAGGCCCTACTCGATAAAATACTTTAACTTGATCGTGCATGTTCATGAAGTGGGTTGCGATTACAACTATAGTGAAATCTCGATAATTCAAACTCTGATAATTCAAACTATAATTCAAACTCAAAACAACTGTTTAGTCAAACAAAGAATCCACTGCCATCAGTAGCATAACAATGATATACAAACCTGATTCACTCAAAACTCTGCTAAGTCAAATTTAGAACCTGTTCCCTTGAGGTTTGACTTGTCAAGATTCCACTGTATTTGCCTCAAAAGCAAGTTATGGCCTGGAATACGCCCAATTGGGAAACAGTATTGAATTGGGAAATAGTTTTGAATAGAAAAATCATTTAAAAGTAGAATATAAACGTCCTAACAACCATCCTTTAAAAACTGGGCATTTTTGTGTTATTCTTGCGAGAAACATGCCAGAACGAATCTCGGGGGCGGACGTGTATTTGTGTGTATTGTGTACCACACACAAACAACGTGTATACGCTGCATTGAATAGTTATGCCACAAATGTCTGTCGCGTCTGATGTAAACAACCGTTTTTCTCCCCCTTTTCTCGAGAACAGTAAGACATGAACATCAACAATGGAGGGGGATTTCAGGCCGTAATGCCACTTCAAGGAAAACCCAAGCGAATTCAACCTCGTGTTTGCACCTTATCGGATTTCATCAAACGTCGCAAATGTCTAATTTTTTTCAACTGTTATAAAAATAATAATTTTACAATAATCAATTAATTCTATAGAAGCTGTACGTTTCTTATCTATTATCTAATACTTTGCATTTTAATCATATAATCAATCACAGTTTAAAACATGCTAAACATTTTATACAATTGGCTAAACAGTTTATGAAATAAAACACTATAGGTTATTGCAATGATTAACATAATAACTCGACGTTTTAGGGGCTCTGGAAGCGTCAATAACTGCTTTACATGTTATAATAATAATAATTTTACAATAATCAATTAATTCTATAGAAGCTGTACGTTTCTTATCTATTATCTAATACTTTACATTTTAATCATATAATCAATCACAGCTTAAAACATGCTAAACATTTTATACAATTGGCTAAACAGTTTATGAAATAAAACACTATAGGTTATTGCAATGATTAACATAATAACTCGACGTTTTAGGGGCTCTGGAAGCGTCAATAACTGCTTTACATGTTATAATGATACCCCAACTACCCTAGAACGTAACAAATGTATGACACAATAATGGTTCAACCTTGACAGTGAACCTTTCTTTCAAATTGCAACGTAGTGTTCCTATTGCGGTGTTGTCACAGAGATCTCCATATCTGCAGTCTGCCCAGCTGACGGTAGAGTGTGAGCCGTCGCTGACACCATTTCTGACTCGTTAGACTTTTCAGGATGCAGTGTGGGCAAGCGGCACTCATGGCCGCAGCAGATGCGCTTCATGTAAGGCGCCAGGGTGGTGCGGACCTCCTCACGTCGAGCGCAGAACATGATGAACACAACCACGCCCTACAATGGGAGCAAATAATTACGACTTGGTTATCAAACAGACTTCGTACGTTCACAAAATTGATGTTGGTACGTAGTTCCCGCCCCTACTTTACATAATTATTTAACAAGCCACAAAGCAAGGGTCTACACCTACAAAATATAAAAGTAAGTACAAGAGAGAAATGGAGTGTTACGGACAGTTTGTATTTTTTCTTTTTTGCTCACTATAGCCGCCGACGGAGGGCTCTGACGGAGGGCTACGACGGCGCGTTGTTTACACTGTGCTGACCTAGTTCCTTTGTTACAAGTAGCGCGCGGTCCGGAAATTAGTTCCTAAAACTAGACTCCATGGCGGGCTAAGTTGTTACAATGTACTAAGTTCTGCCTGCCTGTGTTATTCTATGCTGGGAATTAGCAGTTCATGTTCTGGCAGCGGTGCGGCAAGTTGACCGCAGAGTTTTGCTGAATAAATTCGAGTTTCTCTGGAGTTATCCTGTATGTGTGTGCCTTTTGCCTACGTTTGGCGAGACTTGGAGGACAAAAACCCAATTTAAATTCACGCTACAATAGGAGAGCACGTTCTTGGTAAGGAGTTACACAGTGAGGCCGTAAAAATTACACGTCGATCATTCACCATAAACCCTTAGCCCACAAGCGGTGTTAGGAAAAGGTGGCGGAAAATCGATAAGTGCAGGTGAAGGTACGATACGCGATGGAGGATTGGAACGAGAGTCTATTGAGCACATCTGATGATTGTGCATGTACCTTTAAAACAAACTCTTTGGGGCAACAGAGCTCAAAGGAAGGACAAGACCATGCATGTCCCGGTTGTTAAACTCATGACAGAGTCACGTCTCAAGAGAGTGAGCTACATAGTTGGTAAAAGTGTGGGAATTAAGTGAGGCTGTACCGCGCTGAAATGAGGTGCCAAGGAATGAAAACCGACCTGCAAGGAGTTGGCCAGACAGAAGATGAGCTGAAATGCAAAGGCTGCCTCGTTGATTGCCAGGAACCCAAAACACCAGGTCAAGCCCATGAGGGCGGAGATTCCCACAGCATTCTGGAGGCGTTTTGAGATCTGCTGGGAGCGAGATGCCTCCTTGACCTTCAGGAGACTGCGCATGACCAAGATGAAGGTGATGATGTTTTGGAGGAGGATGAGACCAATGGGAGCGAGGAGGCCGAGGTACAGCACAAGACCAGGCTCAAGGAAGCAGCTTCAAACGAAGAAATATTGATCATTATTTTTTAATATAGGTAGTTAATTAATACCAGTTTTAATACAGTGCTTAATAACCTGCATATGTATCACAGTCGCATCTGTATAAGTATTTGGACATTTTCGAAACTTTGTCTTTGTTTCCAGTTTCGGCTTGTGTTAAGAGATTGTAGACCTCTGACTCTGGATAATTCGGCTCATTATGGGTCCAAGGTCTGCTCGAGGAGTCATATTCGTAAGAGAATAAAATTTGGAGTAGTTTAGATTGTAGAAGGTTCTTAAATTCCCTGAATACAGTGAAGTAAGCAGAAGTTTGGGACAAAGCCGACGTTTCGAGAACTACTCTATATGCATGATAATTAGGTAGAGAGAGGTTGTGAGTAATTGGGGAATCTAAACAGCGCCCTAAGATTAAAAATCTAACATGATCATTCACTTACTAATGTTCGTTGGCATAGTGATGTGATGCTGCAGCCAAGGTGATAATCAACACAATCAATGGAATACCTAAACAAGGAGATTGAAATCGTATTCTTGATTCCACTTGATTCCAATCTCGATTCAACTGAAGATAACAGTGATTTTGCTTGGTATCTATTTAAAAATAATGTTTGAGTTAAGACAGGAACTCACCCCAAGCGATGAGGCAAGCCTTGAGCATGTATCGAGGCGTGTCTTCTGGGAACACCTTCACCGTACTGACGTACATGTTCCTGGCTTCAACGGCCATCCACATCATAGTGGACAGAGTCAAGTAGTGGAGTAAAGCAGCCACGAACACACAACCGCCTCCGGAACCCTTTTAAATTGAAGTCAATATAACTTGAAATATACTGCACTGTTATAATTTCAAATCATGATGCAATTGACAAAGGACGTTACAATCAGCTATATAGTGCTTTGCAAGATATGGAAATTCACTTCACCGACCTGACCTGGCAACTTTTGCCCACTTGGTGGCAGCACATATCTATCTCCCTTTAAATTAACTTAGGTTTCCTGCGTTTTGAAGATTACTTATGTAAAATTGCTCACCTTAGCATTGTCGACGCCAGCAACGAAAACGATGTACAACATGAACAATGAGAAGCAGAAATTTATGAAGATCTGACGAGATTTGCCGCTTCGCATTTTTCTAAAAAAAAAGGTAAAGATTTGTTGTTGAAATTGTAACATCGTCTTACGGCGACAAGACAACATACGGAACGTTTGAGTTATAAGCATGCACAGAACATGGTTGCGTTTAATTTTTTTGATCGTTTCATTACAGTTATCTTACCTGATAGCTAAGTATATGATCAGCGTGATAGCCAGAGCTATGATTGACAGTGCAGCGCCAACCTGGCTGATGATATCAAGCGCTCGCTTAGCAGGAGTGTCATCTTTATCATCAGGTGCTTGTCCCTTCACATCCTGAAAGAAACGTCAATCCTGTTACCAATCCAGATGATATTCCTAATAGCATCTATGTATGATCTCCTAATTACAGACGTAGAAAAAAATTGAAAGAATGAAGATAACATATTTTGTTGGCAGTGAATGTAGGAATTTTGAAAAAGGTAAAAACAGGGAAATCATTAATATTTATAAAACAATGTGTTTTCTTATATTTCTTCTTTTTCTGACTTAATGGACCTTCCACTTTCGTATGGCTTAAAGTAGTGTCACTCTTTTACAAAGAGACCCAGTGTCTAATCCAGCTCTGAACTTACTCCCATATTAGCTCCCTTCGAACTGAAAGGGGTAGGCCTACTGTTTTGCTTTATGTTGTGCTTCACGGTCTAAGCTTGGTACAAGTAATCAAAAGGGGGAGTCTAGTCACCTTGAGCATGCTATTGTTACATTCTAAAGCTTTGTAGTGGTTTGAATCACAAAAAGACTGAGATATACATACCACTAGGATTGCGAAGTTGGTGGCATGAGAGCAATTACACACGACTGTCTTATTGGTCACTTCAGCAAGTGCGCATCCATCTGTTGACCAATCACCGACTCCATCTTCCAGCTCAAAGTCCCAGGACACGCAGTGGACTTCGTTTGATTCCTCCTGATTTTCGAAATCGGAAAATTGATAAAAGGTCACACAAAATTGAGGGTAAAATCTGAAAATGATTAACTTGGACATTGACGTTTAGTTGGCAAGAATATGCCCTAATTTAATACTGAAGTATTCTACTCTGGGTGAACCGGAATATCAATTATCTCATGATCACCTTGAATTCAATCACGACTGGTTCTGTGAGGTTGACAAGTTCAGCATTCTCCACAGTCAGTGAGACGACAGATCCAGCGACCTTACGAGTCGAGTTGTTCTCGCCGCGATGCTCTCTGAGTGAAGCAGACTGGAACAACGTATCATCAGCGTAGATCAGAAAACTGGCTTGTAGCTTTGCACACGTGTTATCTACAGTTGAAGAAATATCTGAACATGTAGGTTTCTCACGGTTGTTTTCCACATTCCCAGCAAAATGTGATCAACAAAAAAGTACGCTTCACTGTGGCATTCCTTGAAAGATGCTTTGAATCTACTCGTTTCAGATAACTGGTTTGTAACTGAGTTTTAAGAAGTACTTATCGCTTTAACTGATGTTGTAGGTTAATTTGGATCAGTGAGTTGGCCATCTTGTTCATGACCATTCAAAATACCCAAGTGCGTCTCCATGTCTCAACCCAAGTACAACAATGCGCCTCTTGAAAAACACACGCACAATCAATGGCTGGATTCAAACCATCGCTTGATAGACTTCTGTCAGCACCGCAAATGTCATTTCCCCGATCTGTTTTAAAATCAAATTATCGATTGTTGACATAGTCTTTGACCATACATGATGCACTTACCATTAGGGGACTGTAGCAAGTCGATGATGTTGCCAGGCAACCGAGCCGATGCCAAGACATCGAGATCCTTCGGTATCACACTGGAGTTCAAAGTCTCGACCTTGGTACCAGCAAGGGTGCCCTCTTGCGGTGACCCTTGTGCAGGATGCGTGACATTGGACTGTTTCACGGACACGAAGCTGAGTCCATCCCTAGCCAGGTTTGGGTCAAGACTGACTGCCTCCACGTGAATGGAGTCCTGACGTATACTGACTTTACCCTCTTGCTGAAGTGTCAAGGAGATTTGAGTCTCTACAGATTTTACAATGGCTGAGGAGGTACTAGCTTCTATCGTAGTGGGCTTGAAGTCATCAGGGGTTTCAGGCCCGACACTCATGATGACATTGCTGACAGTCTCTAGCACTAGTTCTGTCACCTTCAATAAAATCAAGATTATCACTAATTTCAGATACAGATTATACTATTATATATTACTGGTCTGTCTTTGAATCATTTAAGTTTTCCGTCTGGAATGGCAATTCAACATACCTCCGTGTCCCCCGATTCTGCTTTTGCGATGTTCTTCAAAATATTGGCAACAACCTCAACATCTTCAGCCTCCTTAGATGACTCTGACGTCTGATTGGCAAGAAACTCGGCCACTTCGATTGCGTTGCCTTTGCTAACCTCAACCTATCAACGAGTATGATTCATGGTCACATCATGGTATCTTCATATTTAAGTCTTTTAAAACACCTCCTCTGCTTGCTCATTTGCTTGCGGTGCGGTCATAAACTAGATCCTCTCTGCAAGAGCCGCCATTAGAATGTTTTTTTTTGAAAATTGAGCCATCATACCAACTAATGTCCTAAGATAAAAAAACAACAACAATTACCTCCACCACGTCATTGAGAGAGACTTCCTCCTGGACCTCCCCGCATTCACGAGTCTCCTGTTCGTCCCATCGGAAGTACAGAGGCGGCTTTAACTTTGAACAGTTCCGGACAGCTATGGCTTGACCAGCTTCATTAAAAGTGATCAAAACATTAATTCACGTGAATAAAAAGAGTTTTCCCGAAGGAACTGAGTTGTACATATAAATTCCAAAAAAAAAATATTGAGACTTGCTGCCAAAAAACAGCAAACGAAAAAAAGGTGTAGTAGAGGTGGAGAGATGATGTTGATGACTACAAGAAAGATTATATATATCAGGCAGAACAAGGAACATTTCGGACAAGGAAGAAAGTTTCAAAGACTGTGAGAGATTCTGAAGTCAAACCATTTGCAGTGGTCAGTGAACATCGCTGTACAGACTTGGCAGTGGATCCAGCTACTGCTACAGGCCATCTCAGACCGTCATTGGTTGTGTTGGTTGGGCATTGACCTGTTGTGAAAGCACGACATTTGTACCAATCTCTCGCTCATTTATATTTAAACTTGTTTTAATATACGTATGTATCCTGAAAGGGGTCCTAACAAACTCTTTGAACTATCTTTGCCAATTCTTTAAATACTCGGAATCTCTCACCTTGTACCTCAACAAAGAATGAACAATCCAAGTGCAGGTTGTATGCTGCAAAGCATTGCTGATAGTCTACTCGGTGAGTTCCTATCAAGAATCTAACACCAGGAATGTTGTTTGAGGTGAAGTTTGTCGGTCCGTCCCATCCAGTAAGATCCGGTTCCGACCAGCTCACACTGGTGCTTGTCGAGCCAGGACTTGCTAATGCTGAGACAGTTGCTGGGCAGAAGAGTTCCACAACTAAGAAAGCAGACCAAATTGTTACAACAATGTACAAAAGTGTGATCTAGTGCGTACATCTGAGGAAGAAATATTTGTTCCAATTTAGGAATATACGACAAACTATACGCGTGGAAAAACAGCTACAATCAAATATGGCCCAAGTTTCTCCCCATGCCTATGAAACTGAACTAAAGCAGATGTACTGCAAATCAAATTAAAATATAGAGATTGCACTGAGCACAAACCTGTAACCGTCACAGTAAACGTACAACCGTTCTCATTCCCAGATGCATCTTCAGCTCTGTACGTAATCGTGGAAACTCCGACTGAAAACGTTCCATTTCCAGCTTGGTCGCAGTCACTGGCTGTGGCTGCTAAGCAACTGAACGCCACATCCACTTGACGACCAGAGTTGTCAGAGGCCATTGGAGGAGTCCACTTGTGATGTACCTGATTGGCCGATGAGCTGACAGGGATGATGACGTCAGCTGGACAGTCATCAAGCTGAGGAGGCTCGTTGTCTAGAATGGTAAAAACATATTGACTGTAATTAGTAGCCAGTGTGTCTTATCACGATTCTGTATCTTATGTCCAGCACGACAATACTTTCTATTCCCATCTGTCACTCAGTTAATGCTAAACATCGGTTTAAAATGATATCCTGCTTAGGGGTTGAAACAAACCCTTTGACCTAACTTTGCCAAGTTTTCAAATACTTCAAATGTCTCACCTAATACCACGACAAAGAACGAACACTCCAAGTTGAGGTTATATGCCTCAAAATATTGTTGGAAGTCAACTTGGTGAGTTCCTATCAACAACTCAACACCAGGATTTGAGCTTGAAGTGAAGTTTGTAGGTCCGTCCCATCCAGTTAGATCCGGTTCCGACCAGCTAACACTGGTACTGTTCAAGCCAGGACTCGCTATTACCGAAATATTTGCTGGGCAAACGAATTCCACAGCTGAGAAAACAAAACAAAATAATTATTTACAAGTGCCAACAGACATATCTCCTTTGTGCAATTGATATACGACTAACTGATTGAGGGCTGCAATATTAGAGGGCCCACAATTTTACCCAAGCCGATGAAACTAACCAAAAGCATAATGGAGTCATTGAGATCTGTATTGCAAACCAAATCCAAAGAGTCTGTACACTGGACACAAACCTGTAACCGTCACAGTAAACGTGCAACTGTTCGTATTCCCAGACGCATCGTCAGCTTTGTACGTAATCGTGGAAACTCCGACTGAAAAGGTTCCAATTCCAGCTTGGTTGCAGTCACTGGCTGTGGCTGATAAGCAACTGAACGTCACATCCACTTCACGAGCAGAGTTGTCAGAGGCCATTGGAGGTGTCCACCTGTGATGTACCTGATTGGCCGATGAGCTGACAGGGATGATGACGTCAGCTGGACAGTCATCAAGCTGAGGAGGCTCGTTGTCTAGAACGGTATAAATATATTGACTGTAATTAGTAGCCAGTGTGTCTTATCACGATTCTGTATCTTATGTCCAGCACGACAATGCTTTTTATACCAATCTGTCACTCAGTTAATGCTAAACATCGGTTTAAAATGATATCCTGCTTAGGGGTTGAAACGAACCCTTTGAACTTTCTTTGCCAAGTCTTCAAATACTTCAAATGTCTCACCTAATACTACGACAAAGAACGAACACTCCAAGTTGAGGTTATATGCCTCAAAATATTGTTGGAAGTCAACTTGGTGAGTTCCTATCAACAACTCAACACCAGGATTTGAGCTTGAAGTGAAGTTTGTAGGTCCGTCCCATCCATTTAAATCCGGTTCCGACCAGCTAACACTGGCACTGTTCAAGCCAGGACTCGCTACTACCGAGATATTTGCTGGGCAAACGAATTCCACAGCTGAGAAAACAAAACAAAATAATTATTTACAAGTGCCAACAGACATATCTCCTTTGTACAAGGGCGGATCCAGAACACTCATTTTTTTTTGGGGGGGGCAAAAATTTGTTTGGTCCCCCCAAAAAGTGGGTCCAAAAAATTACGGCGTGGGGTTCGGGGCCCGCTTAAGGGCCCCGAAAAATTTTTGGATTCTAGATGCTTTGTGGTGCGATCTGAGGCAATTAATTTCTGACCACTTTAACCAATGTTTTTTTGAGGAAAAGATGGTGTTGTACTCATTGCCTGCCTTTATTGCGATGTGACATAAAAAAAAAAAAATGGTTTCGTTTTTTTTTGGGGGGAAGCATGGCCCCCTTTGCCCCCCCCCCTGGATCCGCCCTTGCCTTTGTACAATTGATATACGACTAACTGATAGAGGGCTGCAATGTTAGAGGGCCCACAATTTTACCCAAGCCGATGAAACTAACCAAAAGCATAATGGAGTCATTGAGATCTGTATTGCACACCAAATCCAAAGAGTCTGTACACTGGACACAAACCTTTAACCGTCACAGTAAACGTGCAACTGTTCTTATTCCCAGACGCATCTTCAGCTTTGTACGTAATCGTGGAAACTCCGACTGAAAAGGTTCCAATTCCAGCTTGGTTGCAGTCACTGGCTGTGGCTGCTAAGCAACTGAACGTCACATCCACTTCACGAGCAGAGTTGTCAGAGGCCATTGGAGGTGTCCACCTGTGATGTACCTGATTGGCCGATGAGCTGACAGGGATGATGACGTCAGCTGGACAGTCATCAAGCTGAGGAGGCTCGTTGTCTAGAATGGTAAAAACATATTGACTGTAATTAGTAGCCAGTGTGTCTGATCACGATTCTGTATCTTATGTCCAGCACGAAAATACTTTTAATACCAATCTGTCACTCAGTTAATGCTAAACATCGGTTTAAAATGATATCCTGCTTAGGGGTTGAAACAAATCCTTTGACAAATCTTTGCCAAGTCTTCAAATACTTCAAAAGTCTCACCTAATACCACTACAAAGAACGAACACTCCAAGTTCAGGTTATATGCCTCAAAATATTGTTGGAAGTCTACTTGGTGAGTTCCTATCAACAACTCAACACCAGGATTTGAGCTTGAAGTGAAGTTTGTAGGTCCGTCCCATCCAGTTAGATCCGGTTCCGACCAGCTAACATTGGTACTGTTCAAGCCAGGACTCGCTGTTACCGAGATATTTGCTGGGCAAACGAATTCCACAGCTGAGAAAACAAAACAAAATAATTATTTACAAGTGCCAACAGACATATCTCCTTTGTACAATTAATAAACGACTAAACTGACTGATGGCTGCAATATTAGAGGGCCCACATTTTACCAAAGCCGATGAAACTAACCAAAAGCATAATGGAGTCATTGAGATCTGTATTGCAAACCAAATCCAAAGAGTCTGTACACTGGACACAAACCTTTAACCGTCACAGTAAACGTGCAACTGTTCGTATTCCCAGACGCATCTTCAGCTCTGTACGTAATCGTGGAAACTCCGACTGAAAAGGTTCCAATTCCAGCTTGGTTGCAGTCACTGGCTGTGGCTGCTAAGCAACTGAACGTCACATCCACTTCACGAGCAGAGTTGTCAGAGGCCATTGGAGGTGTCCACCTGTGATGTACCTGATTGGCCGATGAGCTGACAGGGATGATGACGTCAGCTGGACAGTCATCAAGCTGAGGAGGCTCGTTGTCTAGAATGGTAAAAACATATTGACTGTAATTAGTAGCCAGTGTGTCTGATCACGATTCTGTATCTTATGTCCAGCACGAAAATACTTTTTATACCAATCTGTCACTCAGTTAATGTTAAACATCGGTTTAAAATAATATCCTGCTTAGGGGTTGAAACGAACCCTTTGAACTTTCTTTGCCAAGTCTTCAAATAGTTCAAATGTCTCACCTAATACTACGACAAAGAACGAACACTCCAAGTTGAGGTTATATGCCTCAAAATATTGTTGGAAGTCAACTTGGTGAGTTCCTATCAACAACTCAACACCAGGATTTGAGCTTGAAGTGAAGTTTGTAGGTCCGTCCCATCCATTTAAATCCGGTTCCGACCAGCTAACACTGGCACTGTTCAAGCCAGGACTCGCTACTACCGAGATATTTGCTGGGCAAACGAATTCCACAGCTGAGAAAACAAAACAAAATAATTATTTACAAGTGCCAACAGACATATCTCCTTTGTACAAGGGCGGATCCAGAACACTCATTTTTTTTTGGGGGGGGGGGGGCAAAAATTTGTTTGGTCCCCCCAAAAAGTGGGTCCAAAAAATTACGGCGTGGGGTTCGGGGCCCGCTTAAGGGCCCCGAAAAATTTTTGGATTCTAGATGCTTTGTGGTGCGATCTGAGGCAATTAATTTCTGACCACTTTAACCAATGTTTTTTTGAGGAAAAGATGGTGTTATACTCATTGCCTGCCTTTATTGCGATGTGACATAAAAAAAAAAAAATGGTTTCGTTTTTTTTGGGGGGGAAGCATGGCCCCCTTTGCCCCCCCCCCCCTGGATCCGCCCTTGCCTTTGTACAATTGATATACGACTAACTGATAGAGGGCTGCAATGTTAGAGGGCCCACAATTTTACCCAAGCCGATGAAACTAACCAAAAGCATAATGGAGTCATTGAGATCTGTATTGCACACCAAATCCAAAGAGTCTGTACACTGGACACAAACCTGTAACCGTCACAGTAAACGTGCAACCGTTCTCATTCCCAGACGCATCTTCAGCTTTGTACGTAATCGTGGAAACTCCGACTGAAAAGGTTCCAATTCCAGCTTGGTCGCAGTCACTGGCTGTGGCTGATAAGCAACTGAACGTCACATCCACTTGACGACCAGAGTTGTCAGAGGCCATTGGAGGTGTCCACCTGTGATGTACCTGATTGGCCGATGAGCTGACAGGGATGATGACGTCAGCTGGACAGTCATCAAGCTGAGGAGGCTCGTTGTCTAGAATGGTAAAAACATATTGACTGTAATTAGTAGCCAGTGTGTCTGATCACGATTCTGTATCTTATGTCCAGCACGAAAATACTTTTAATACCAATCTGTCACTCAGTTAATGCTAAACATCGGTTTAAAATGATATCCTGCTTAGGGGTTGAAACAAATCCTTTGACAAATCTTTGCCAAGTCTTCAAATACTTCAAAAGTCTCACCTAATACCACTACAAAGAACGAACACTCCAAGTTCAGGTTATATGCCTCAAAATATTGTTGGAAGTCTACTTGGTGAGTTCCTATCAACAACTCAACACCAGGATTTGAGCTTGAAGTGAAGTTTGTAGGTCCGTCCCATCCAGTTAGATCCGGTTCCGACCAGCTAACATTGGTACTGTTCAAGCCAGGACTCGCTGTTACCGAGATATTTGCTGGGCAAACGAATTCCACAGCTGAGAAAACAAAACAAAATAATTATTTACAAGTGCCAACAGACATATCTCCTTTGTACAATTAATAAACGACTAAACTGACTGATGGCTGCAATATTAGAGGGCCCACATTTTACCAAAGCCGATGAAACTAACCAAAAGCATAATGGAGTCATTGAGATCTGTATTGCAAACCAAATCCAAAGAGTCTGTACACTGGACACAAACCTTTAACCGTCACAGTAAACGTGCAACTGTTCGTATTCCCAGACGCATCTTCAGCTCTGTACGTAATCGTGGAAACTCCGACTGAAAAGGTTCCAATTCCAGCTTGGTTGCAGTCACTGGCTGTGGCTGCTAAGCAACTGAACGTCACATCCACTTCACGAGCAGAGTTGTCAGAGGCCATTGGAGGTGTCCACCTGTGATGTACCTGATTGGCCGATGAGCTGACAGGGATGATGACGTCAGCTGGACAGTCATCAAGCTGAGGAGGCTCGTTGTCTAGAATGGTAAAAACATATTGACTGTAATTAGTAGCCAGTGTGTCTGATCACGATTCTGTATCTTATGTCCAGCACGAAAATACTTTTTATACCAATCTGTCACTCAGTTAATGTTAAACATCGGTTTAAAATAATATCCTGCTTAGGGGTTGAAACAAACCCTTTGAACTATCTTTGCCAAGTCTTCAAATACTTCAAAAGTCTCACCTAATACCGCTACAAAGAACGAACACTCCAAGTTCAGGTTATATGCCTCAACATATTGTTGGAAGTCTACTCGGTGAGTTCCTACCAACAACTCAACACCAGGATTTGAGCTTGAAGTGAAGTTTGTAGGTCCGTCCCATCCAGTTAGATCCGGTTCCGACCAGCTAACATTGGTACTGTTCAAGCCAGGACTCGCTGTTACCGAGATATTTGCTGGGCAAACGAATTCCACAGCTGAGAAAACAAAACAAAATAATTATTTACAAGTGCCAACAGACATATCTCCTTTGTACAATTGATATACGACTAACTGATTGAGGGCTGCAATATTAGAGGGTCCACAATTTTACCCAAGCCGATGAAACTTACTCAAAGCATAATGGAGTCATTGAGAACTGTATTGCAAACCAAATCCAAAGAGTCTGTACACTGGACACAAACCTTTAACCGTCACAGTAAACGTGCAACTGTTCTTATTCCCAGACGCATCTTCAGCTTTGTACGTAATCGTGGAAACTCCGACTGAAAAGGTTCCAATTCCAGCTTGGTTGCAGTCACTGGCTGTGGCTGCTAAGCAACTGAACGTCACATCCACTTCACGAGCAGAGTTGTCAGAGGCCATTGGAGGTGTCCACCTGTGATGTACCTGATTGGCCGATGAGCTGACAGGGATGATGACGTCAGCTGGACAGTCATCAAGCTGAGGAGGCTCGTTGTCTAGAATGGTAAAAACATATTGACTGTAATTAGTAGCCAGTGTGTCTGATCACGATTCTGTATCTTATGTCCAGCACGAAAATACTTTTAATACCAATCTGTCACTCAGTTAATGCTAAACATCGGTTTAAAATGATATCCTGCTTAGGGGTTGAAACAAATCCTTTGACAAATCTTTGCCAAGTCTTCAAATACTTCAAAAGTCTCACCTAATACCACTACAAAGAACGAACACTCCAAGTTCAGGTTATATGCCTCAAAACATTGTTGGAAGTCTACTTGGTGAGTTCCTATCAACAACTCAACACCAGGATTTGAGCTTGAAGTGAAGTTTGTAGGTCCGTCCCATCCTGTTAGATCCGGTTCCGACCAGCTAACACTGGTACTGTTCAAGCCAGGACTCGCTATTACCGAGATATTTGCTGGGCAAACGAATTCCACAGCTGAGAAAACAAAACAAAATAATTATTTACAAGTGCCAACAGACATATCTCCTTTGTACAATTGATATACGAGTTACTGATTGAGGGCTGCAATATTAGAGGGCCCACAATTTTACCCAAGCCGATGAAACTTATCTAAAGCATAATGGAGTTATTGAGATCTGTTTTGCAAACCAAATCCAAAGAGTCTGTACACTGGACACAAACCTTTAACCGTCACAGTAAAAGTGCAACCGTTCTTATTCCCAGACGCATCTTCAGCCTTGTATGTAATCGTGGAAACTCCGACTGAAAAGGTTCCAATTCCAGCTTGGTTGCAGTCACTGGCTGTGGCTGCTGAGCAACTGAACGTCACATCCACTTCACGAGCAGAGTTGTCAGAGGCCATTGGAGGTGTCCACCTGTGATGTACCTGATTGGCCGATGAGCTGACAGGGATGATGACGTCAGCTGGACAGTCATCAAGCTGAGGAGGCTCGTTGTCTAGAATGGTATAAATATATTGACCGTAATTAGTAGCCAGTTTGTCTTATATCAGTTCTGTATCTTATGTCCAGCATGACAATACTGTTTATACCAATCTGTCACTCAGTTAATGCTAAACATCGGTTTAATATGACATCCCGCTTAGGTGTTGAAACAAACTCTTTGAACTATCTTTGCCAAGTCTTCAAATACTTCAAATGTCTCACCTAATACCACTACAAAGAACGAACACTCCAAGTTCAGGTTATATGCCTCAAAATATTGCTGAAAGTCTACTCGGTGAGTTCCTATCAACAACTCAACACCAGGATTTGGGCTTGAAGTGAAGTTTGTAGGTCCGTCCCATCCAGTTAAATCCGGTTCCGACCAGCCCACACTGGTACTTTTCAAGCCAGGACTTGCTAATGCCGAGACATTTGCTGGGCAGACGAGTTTCACAACTGAGAAAGAAGACCGAATATTAATGACTCAGTACCTGGAGAGTTATCTATTACAAGATTGTAGGCTTTGCATGGTGGATTGTCGATATAATTTCGGATTGTGGTAACACCATGTGGTAATAACTACTATCGCTTAGTAGATTTAGTTCTTGTAAGAACCGTCCTGCTTAGTTCTGAACAGAACTTGTCATGCTTATTATCTACTTTCGCTAAGAAGGTTGAAAAGGCGGTGGGACTTCCCGCAATTATCTTCACTAAGGCTGAGTGAGATAAGTTTGGTCTGAACGTTTTGACTAGCCTGCTCTAGTCGTCGTCAGGGGACTATCTAGTGTTTGTATACTTGTAGAGGGTTATTTATTGTTTGTACACTTGTAGAACAAAGCTTTATTCTTATTTAAAACTTACACGACAAACTATACATGTAGTTGGATGCTGCCTTCTTAGAGGACCCTACAACAAAGGAACATAACAAGTCTACCCATGCCTGTCCTAACGGCTAACAGCACTGACCTCTTAGATATTTTAAGTTCTTGAGTTCTACACAGCGAACAAATGCAAAAAAGGAGCCTGAATGGGACACTTACCTGTAACCGTCACAGTAAACGTGCAAACGTTCTCATTCCCAGATGCATCTTCAGCTTTGTATGTAATCGTGGAAACTCCGACTGAAAAGGTTCCAATTCCAGCTTGGTTGCAGTCACTGGCTGTGGCTGCTGAGCAACTGAACGTCACATCCACTTGACGACCAGAGTTGTCAGAGGCCATTGGAGGAGTCCACCTGTGATGTACCTGATTGGCCGATGAGCTGACAGGGATGATGACGTCAACTGGACAGTCATCAAGCTGAGGAGGCTCGATGTCTAAAATGGTATAAACATATTGACTGTAATTAGTAGCCAGTGTGTCTTATCACGATTCTGTATCTTATGTCCAGCCAGACAATACACTTTATACCAATCTGTCACTCAGTTAATGCTTCACATCGGTTTAAAATGATATCCTGCTTAGGGGTTGAAACAAACCCTTTGAACTATCTTTGCCAAGTCTTCAAATACTTCAAATGTCTCACCTAATACCACTACAAAGAACGAACACTCCAAGTTCAGGTTATATGCCTCAAAATATTGCTGAAAGTCTACTCGGTGAGTTCCTATCAACAACTCAACACCAGGATTTGAGGTTGAAGTGAAGTTTGTAGGTCCGTCCCATCCAGTTAGATCCGGTTCCGACCAGCTAACACTGGTACTGTTCAAGCCAGGACTCGCTATTACCGAATGATTTGCTGGGCAAACGAATTCCACAGCTGAGAAAACAAAACAAAATAATTATTTACAAGTGCCAACAGACATATCTCCTTTGTACAATTGATATACGACTTACTGATTGAGGACTGCAATATTAGAGGGCCCACAATTTTACCCAAGCCGATGAAACTTACCAAAAGCATAATGGAGTCATTGAGATCTGTTTTGCAAACCAAATCCAAAGAATCTGTACACTGGACACAAACCTTTAACCGTCACAGTAAAAGTGCAACCGTTCTTATTCCCAGACGCATCTTCAGCCTTGTATGTAATCGTGGAAACTCCGACTGAAAAGGTTCCAATTCCAGCTTGGTTGCAGTCACTGGCTGTGGCTGCTGAGCAACTGAACGTCACATCCACTTCACGAGCAGAGTTGTCAGAGGCCATTGGAGGTGTCCACCTGTGATGTACCTGATTGGCCGATGAGCTGACAGGGATGATGACGTCAGCTGGACAGTCATCAAGCTGAGGAGGCTCGTTGTCTAGAATGGTATAAATATATTGACCGTAATTAGTAGCCAGTTTGTCTTATATCAGTTCTGTATCTTATGTTCAGCATGACAATACTGTTTATACCAATCTGTCACTCAGTTAATGCTAAACATCGGTTTAATATGACATCCCGCCTAGGTGTTGAAACAAACTCTTTGAACTATCTTTGCCAAGTCTTCAAATACTTCAAATGTCTCACCTAATACCACTACAAAGAACGAACACTCCAAGTTCAGGTTATATGCCTCAAAATATTGCTGAAAGTCTACTCGGTGAGTTCCTATCAACAACTCAACACCAGGATTTGAGCTTGAAGTGAAGTTTGTAGGTCCGTCCCATCCAGTTAAATCCGGTTCCGACCAGCCCACACTGGTACTTTTCAAGCCAGGACTTGCTAATGCCGAGACATTTGCTGGGCACACGAGTTTCACAGCTGAGAAAGAAGACCGAATATTAATGACTCAGTACCTGGAGAGTTATCTATTACAAGATTGTAGGCTTTGCATGGTGGATTGTCGATATAATTTCGGATTGTGGTAACACCATGTGGTAATAACAACTGTCGCTTAGTAGATTTAGTTCTTGTAAGAACCGTCCTGCTTAGTTCTGAACAGAACTTGTCATGCTTATTATCTACTTTCGCTAAGAAGGTTGAAAAGGCGGTGGGACTTCCCGCAATTATCTTCACTAAGGCTGAGTGAGTTAAGTTTGGTCTGAACGTTTTGACTAGCCTGCTCTAGTCGTCGTCAGGGGACTATCTAGTGTTTGTTCACTTGTAGAGGGTTATTTATTGTTTGTTCACTTGTAGAACAAAGCTTTATTCTTATTTAAAACTTACACGACAAACTATACATGTAGTTGGATGCTGCCTTCTTAGAGGACCCTACAACAAAGGAACATAACATGTCTACCCATGCCTGTCCTAACGGATAACAGCACTGACCTCTTAGATATTTTAAGTTCTTGAGTTCTACACAGCGAACAAATGCAAAAAGAGGAGCCTGAATGGGACACTTGCCTGTAACCGTCACAGTAAACGTGCAAACATCCTCATTTCCAGATGCATCTTCCGCTCTGTACATCATCGTAAATTCTCCAACTGAAAAGGTACCGTTGCCAGCTCGATCGCAGTCACTGGCTGTGGCTGCTAAGCAACTGAACGTCACATCCACTTGACGACCAGAGTTGTCAGAGGCCATTGGAGGAGTCCACCTGTGACGCACCTGATTGGCCGATGAGCTGACTGGGATGGTGACGACAGCTGGACATTCATAAAGCTTTGGAGGTTCATTATCTACAATGGTACAAATGTATTAACTTATAAACTTTAATTACAAGTCAGTTTGTCCTATTACGGTGTGGTATTTTATGTCCAGTTTAAACCCTCTGTTAGGCTGGTCCCGGTAGCTGAGGAGGAAGCCTCTAGTTCTCTTTGCACCTGACTGACTGTCTCACTTACTGACTGTAGTTTGCACTAGAGTTACCATGTATAAACGCAAATGAATGGGCTGTGGCCTATTTGGTAGGCTACATGCAGGAAAAGACTTCCACTGAATAGCCATTCTGAATGGTTGAATATAGTTTTTTGCGCTCTAGAAACTTAAGGCTTGCCTTGCCTTCCTATATAATATTGTTAAGATTAAATTTACTGTTTCAAAGCACATGCATGTTTCCTAGATTTTGTTTATGTTTCCTAAGTCCATTGCCGCATCAAACTCAAAGTAAAAAGTAAAATATAAGAGTGATTATTTGGTTCACGAAACAGTAGTATTTTTACCTTCGACAATGACGAAGAAATCGCATTCGATCGCGGTGCCCTCAACCCGGTAGACAACAGGAGTTGATCCTATACTGAAGAACTCTCCAGGGTGGTTCTCGGACAGCAACCGAATTGGTGTCCCTCCATCATCACGGAAGTATAAAACACCACTACCACTGTCATCGTCATCATTGACGTCGTCATCATCAGACCCAATAAAGTAGTAGTCTCCTGATGAGACGTGATTAAGATGCGCACGCATCGCACTGGTGTCCTGCCCATGAGGTGAACTGAAGATCACTTGGGGATGAGCCCATGAAACAGAGGTGGTATTACTTCCAGGGTCAGTGGCAGCTGTGATGTTGGCTGGACAGCGAAGTTCAACCCCTGTACAGTTATAGAGATACTATTAAACAATAACATGGGTATAGTTTACCTGATATTTCATTCATGACAGTCTATATGAAAACTCAAAGTGCTACATGGTTGTCATCGTGGAAGTCCACATTGTGGAAGTGAACTTTGACACAATGTGATGATAAATCCCTTTTGTGAGATTCGGTGGTTCTAAGCCCAACCTAAACGTTTTTCTGTTTGTCGACAGGGGCCTAATAGATTCCAAGATATTAAAGAACGACCTTGGAACGTTCTTTAAATGTGAACAATTGAAAAGATGCCACGATAGAGGTTCTGATGGCATGGGGTGAAATGGGTTGCTCTGGATTGGATGGGGTGTGGTTGGTCCGGGTAGTTTGGATCGGTTGGGTCGTTTAAGGATTAGGTAGGTGGGTTGCTTTGTTGGGGCGAGTTGGGTGGGGTTGCTGGGATGTGATAATTGACTTGGTAGGGTGGGGCTGGCTGAGGGTTAGCTGGGCTGAGGTCGGATTAGATGGAATCGGGATGGGCTGGGGTAATGGTACAAGGCTGGTACATATAGATAAACTCACATAAAGTATAGGTCAGTGTTGTCGTGTAGAAGACGCTGCAAGACAGCTAATGTTTTACAAAATAAATGTATGCTGTTGAAATTTTCTAACATGAAACTAACCTGTCACTGTCACGGTGAAGTCACAATGTGCTGAGTTTCCTTCATTGTCAGTCACAATGTATGTTACCATGGAAACCTCGCCAGTTTGGAACATGTTACCAGGCTGATGGCTGCAATTCCATAGCAACGGTAAGCTTGGGTCTGATGCATTTAATTCTGGCCATGACACAGGAATCGACTCAATGTCCATAGCAACCAGGCGAGTGATGTTTCCAGGGCAACCGGTGGTGAATGTAGGCGGATTTGAGTCTGAGGGGCCAATAAATTATCATAAGCTACATTTGTTTTAAACCGTTTTCAAAACGAACCAAAGCCTACAGGAATGCATAGCGCTTGAAATACAATCCAAACATTAAGCCTGAAATTTACCTTTCTTTCGAGGTTAATCAATTTCCCTCGACAATGAAAACTGCTAACAAAAACATGGAAAACGAAAACTAGAAATGTGTTGTTTTTGGACAAACACTAGCTGTTTCGGCTGTTTGAAATGACTCTGTGACGTGTGATAAAAAAATGACGATGTCACCTAAAATTGGATCGATAACCCATGTGACGTACATGACATAATCACGATTACTTCAGCATCATACGTTACAACCAAATCCGACCAGTAGTTCTATAGATGTAAACCTTAGAAAAACGCCCCTTTAATTTAATGTCACATGACATATAACGACGTCATCGGGCGTCACTTGAATATTCATGTGAAGCATCCCGGTCTAAGAACCTTACGGTTTAGAAAGTTTTAGAAAAACAGTTTAAGAAAAAAAAATCCAAGCAATAGTTCTATAGATACAGACTTTAGAATAATGAAGTTTGAAATGAGTCACATGACATGTGATGACGTAATGATGACGTCACTTTAATTACATGAAAACAATATCCCGGTATAAAAACATAACAATTTACAACCAAATCAAACGTATAGTTCATTAGGTATAGGCCGTCGAAATCTGCCCCTTTAGTGAGACGTCACATGACGTGTATCGACGTCAACATGACGTCACTTCAATTTACGTGTGTTACATTCCGGTCTTAGTGCCTATCAACTTACCAACTTACAAAAATATCCGACTTGGTGTTTGTACACTTGTAGAGGGTTATTTATTGTTTGTACACTTGTAGAACAAAGCTTTATTCTTATTTAAAACTTACACGACAAACTATACACGTAGTTGGATGCTGCCTTCTTAGAGGACCCTACAACAAAGGAACATAACATGTCTACCCATGCCTGTCCTAACGGATAACAGCACTGACCTCTTAGATATTTTAAGTTTTTGAGTTCTACACAGCGAACAAATGCAAAAAGAGGAGCCTGAATGGGACACTTACCTGTAACCGTCACAGTAAACGTGCAAACATCCTCATTTCCAGATGCATCTTCCGCTCTGTACATCATCGTAAATTCTCCAACTGAAAAGGTACCGTTGCCAGCTCGATCGCAGTCACCGGCTGTGGCTGCTAAGCAACTGAACGTCACATCCACTTGACGACCAGAGTTGTCAGAGGCCATTGGAGGAGTCCACCTGTGACGCACCTGATTGACCGATGAGCTGACTGGGATGGTGACGTCAGCTGGACATTCATAAAGCTTTGGAGGTTCATTATCTACAATGGTACAAATGTATTAACTTATAAACTTTAATAACAAGTCAGTTTGTCCTATTACGGTGTGGTATTTTATGTCCAGTTTAAACCCTCTGTTAGGCTGGTCCCGGTAGCTGAGGAGGAAGCCTCTAGTTCTCTTTGCACCTGACTGACTGTCTCACTTACTGACTGTAACTTGCAACTAAGACTTGTCCGAGTCTCCCCTTGCTCCAAAAGTTTGCACTAGAGTTACCATGTATAAACGCAAATGAATGGGCTGTGGCCTATTTGGTAGGCTACATGCAGGAAAAGACTTCCACTGAATGGCCATTCTGAATGGTTGAATATAGTTTTTTTTTTGCGCTCTAGAAACTTTAGGCTTGCCGTGCCTTCCTATATAATATTGTTAAGACTAGATTTACTGTTTCAAAGCACTTGCATGTTTCCTAGATTTTGTTTATGTTTCCTAAGTCCATTGCTGCATCAAACTCAAAGTAAAAAGTAAAATATAAGAATGATTATTTGGTTCACGAAACAGTAGTATTTTTACCTTCGACAATGACGACGAAATCGCATTCGATCTCGGTGCCCTCAACCCGGTAGAAAACAGGAGTTGATCCTATACTGAAGAACTCTCCAGGGTGGTTCTCGGACAGCAACCGAATTGGTGTCCCTCCATCATCACGGAAGTATAAAACACCACTACCACTGTCATCGTCATCATTGACGTCGTCATCATCAGAGCCAATAAAGTAGTAGTCTCCTGATGAGACGTGATCAAGATGCGCACGCATCGCACTGGTGTCCTGCCCATGAGGTGAACTGAAGATCACTTGGGGCTGAGCCCATGAAACAGAGGTGGTATTACTTCCAGGGTCAGTAGCAGCTGTGATGTTGGCTGGACAGCGAAGTTCAACCCCTGTACAGTTAGAGAGATACTATTAAACAATAACATGGATATAGTTTACCTGATATTTCATTCATGACAGTCTATATGAAAACTAAAAGTGCTACATGGTTGTCGTCGTGGATCGGAAGTCCACATTGTGGAAGTGAACTTTGACACAATGTGATGATAAATCCCTTTTGTGAGATCCGTGTGGTTCTAAGCCCAACCTAAACGTTTTTCTGTTTGTCGACAGGGGCCTAATAGATTCCAAGATATTAAGGAACGACTTGGAAACGTTCTTTAAATGTGAAAAATTGAGAGATGCCACGATAGATGTTCTGATGGCATGGGGTGGGATGGGTTGCTCTGGATTGGATGGGGTGTGGTTGGTCCGGGTAGTTTGGTTCGGTTGGGTCGTTTGAGGATTAGGAAGGTGGGTTGCTTTGTTGGGGCGAGTTGGGTGGGGTTGCTGGGATGTGATAATTGGTTTGGTAGGGTGGCGCTGGTTGAGGGTTAGCTGGGCTGAGGTCGGATTGGATGGAATCGGGATGGGCTGGGGTAATGGTACAAGCCTGGTACATATAGATAAACTCACATAAAGTATAGGTCAGTGTTGTCGTGTAGAAGACGCTACAAGACAACTAATGTTTTACAAAATAAATGTATGCTGTTAAAATTTTCTAACACGAAACTAACCTGTCACTGTCACGGTGAAGTCACAATGTGCTGAGTTTCCTTCATTGTCAGTCACAATGTATGTTACCATGGAAACCTCGCCAGTTTGGAACATGTGACCAGGCTGATGGCTGGAGTTCCATAGCAACGGTAAGCTTGGGTCTGATGCATTCAATTCTGGCCATGACACAGGAATCGACTCAATGTCCATAGCAACCAGGCGAGTGATGTTGCCAGGGCAACCGGTGGTGAATGTAGGCGGATTTGAGTCTGCTGAGGGGTCAATAAATTATCATAAACTACATTTGTTTTAAACCGTTTTCAATACGAACACAAAGCCTACAGGAAAGCATAGCGCTTGAAATACAATCATAACAATTAAGCCTGAATTTCACCTTCTTTCGAGGTTAATCGATTTCCCTCGACAATGAAAGCTGCCAACAAAAACAAGGAAATGAAAACTAGAAATGTGTTGTTTTTGGACAAACACTAGCTGTTTCGGCTGTTTGAAATGACTCTGTGACTTGTGATAACAAAATGACGATGTCACCTAAAATTGGATCGATAACCCATGTGACGTACATGACATCATTATGATTACTTCAGGATCATACGTTACAACCAAATCCGACCAGTAGTTCTATAGATATGGAACTTAGAAAAACGCCCCTTTAATTTAATGTCACATGACATATAACGACGTCATCAGGCGTCATTTGAATATTCATGTGAAGCATCCCGGTCTAAGAACCTAACGGTTTAGAAAGTTTTAGAAAAACAGTTAAGAAAAAAAATCCAAGCAATAGTTCTATAGATACAGACTTTAGAATAATGAAGTTTGAAATGAGTCACATGACATGTGATGACGTAATGATGACGTCACTTTAGTTACATGTAAACAATATCCCGGTATAGAAACAAAACAATTTATAACCAAATCAAACCTATAGTTCATTAGGCATAGGCCGTCGAAATCTGCCCCTTTAGTGAGACGTCACATGACATGTAATGACGTCACTTCAATTTACTTGTGTTACATTCCGGTCTTAGTGCCTATCAACTTACCAACTTACAAAAATATCCGACTTGGAATTCTATACACACAGGCCTTGGAAATATGCCCCTTAATGTGACGTTACATGACATGTGATTACGTAATGATGACATCACTCCAATTGTCGACAATAACACGTTACTCTCTTACTATTTACCTACAAATTCTCGACCCAATCTGGCTTGTGTTTCAAAAGGCTTTAAAAACGCACCTTTTATGTGACGTAACTTGATACCTGATTACGTCATGATTACGAAAATCCTTTGGGACCATCTGCAGGTGGTGGTATATTTTTGTACCAAGTCTGTGGTCGATTACATTTTAGAAAAGCACCAAAGGGTGGAAGAAAACGTGTACAAAAGCTGTGGAGAACAAATGCACTTTAAATGTCACATTATTTGACAGCTGATGACACCATCGTGACAAACAGTTTCTAGGATCATCTGTGGTAGGTGGTCTAGGTATGCGCCAAGTCTGAAGTCGATCGGATTTACAAAAGTGGCAAAGTAAACGTGGTGGACGAAAAAGTGTACAAACCATCATGAAGAAAAAAACTCTGAAAAGGGAGGAAAAAAAAGGAAAATATAGCAAAGTGTTTGGGGACAAACACCAGCTGTTTTGGCTGCTTTTAATGACTCTGCCACGTGATAAATCTAAAGTTCATCTATAACACACCCCCGTTTACGTACTTACAAATAGTTCTTGGGATATATAGGTTTCAGACAAATAAACCTTTGATGTGACGTTACATGACTTGTTATGACGTCATCATGGCGCAACCTTTTTCTCTATAAAACCTCCCTCTCTATATACATACACATTTTCGACCATATTTGACTCGTAAGATCTGATCGAATCGTTGATTTTGATAGTCCCCGCGGGGGTTAACGAACTCGTGCTGGGTATAAATCTAACCAGGCCTTTTATACCGATTGAGTTTGACTGACGTAGGCCACGGTGTAATCGCTGTTACGCCCCAAACCCTCGGTTGGGTCTGCCAAACCAAAGCCCATTTTAGTTTCATCCATCATATTAGTACGATACTGACTGTGCTCGAGGTGCACTCTCTAAATTCCAAAGAGTGAAATCAAGGACAAGACGTTTAAAAGAGAAAATCATTCTCATTTTAGATTGAAAAATCTGAAAAAAAATAGAAGCACCTCAGTCGAAGCTCGAGTGAAAACGTGATATTTACGATTGAAGGAATTTAACTCTAAAACGTCTAGTCCCTAGTTTCCGACTGTGTGTGTGAATCTTCACTGGAATGGAGTGAATTTTCACTCTTCAGAATTTAGAGAATAGGGGTGTCGTATAATAATCTTTTACGGGTACGGGCACGTAAGATGTATTCCAGTAATAGGCCGAAGGATTTATTTGATCGATGCCAAACAATAGACAGGTGTCGACGAATGATCTGTGATTTTTGTTCTTGTTGTCTAGCCCTCCGACGCAGACGGCCCATTGACTAACACACTTACAGTAAGGGGTCCCTCCGGGGACCCAGACATTTAACGCCTTGGTTTGAGGCTACACAACACTGTATCTATATGTATACAATCTCGACATGTCTGTAGACTATAAATAAGGAGGTCATTGACAGGAAACAGATGTTGTATACATAGTCTGTGGTCAAGTCGTGCACTTGGCTACCCGCAAGTGACTTTGTTTTGTGCACGTGTATATGGGCAGCCCAGGTTGTCAGGCTCAGATATGCCTCACCCGGGGTCACACACTAAAGGTGACTGCATATATCCGTAGTGGGTGCCTCTGGCTAGGATTAGATGGAAGATCACCAGAATTTGTTTGAAAAGGGCTAGTTTCTGCGTCGGAGGGCTAGAGAGTTAAAAGTGTCGTCTCCCGGTATAGGAGCGGCCAGGTCGTACAGGATCTTTCTGACCGTAAAATACAAATGAAAGCTAAAGATGGCCCAAATGTACTTGTTGCCCGCGTTTAAAAGATCGAAGATAACACCACACCCCGTAGTAGCGCAGTATACCGCGATATTTATCTGATTTTGATAGAATGATATTGGATGCGATTTCCAACGATCTACATCCGCGTTGGTCTTGATGCGAGGTAGTTTGTAGTCCGAGGTCATGTCGGGAAACGAGGTTAAAAACCCGTTGGTATTGTTTACCACAATCTCGAGTTCACTGGTTTTAGTGCTGTCTAATCTTTTTTTCTGGCGCAGAGGTCACAGCATGATGCGCTTGATTCGTTTGGATACATCCGTAGCAATTTCCAATTGTTTCATCTTATTCGCATGCAAATGACTCATCATTTAGTCTCTGTTTTAATATAAAAATACCCAAAAGTAAATGCATTCGTTTCACTTGTTTCAAAACGAGCAGGCGTTTAAATTAGAAGACGTCGTAGAGAATCTAAACCGTCAAAAATCTGTACGCGTAAAAAAGGTCATGTTGAACGCCGGATATTTGAATATTATTTTCAGACCCACTTAGATTGATTGGCAGACGGCAGATGTAGAAGGGAGACCCGCTAAAACTTCTGCTGACGTTGGAAACCCCGTTGAGAGATCCGTTGAGTTTGATTGACATGTACAATTTAGAACAAATAGAGATTTTATCGAGCGACTGGTACCCGAGACACCCAAGGACAGTTATAAACAATCTAATAGTAGCGTACGAAAGAGATATAGAACGGAATATGCTTTACATTCGCTCAACGAAGAAAGAAAACAAATAGATAATCAACTAGTAACTTTATCCGAAAACAATATAGGAGGCTCACAAAAACACTAATCAACGTACAACTGAATTCGCTTCGAATTTGTCATCGAAGTTTTATTTGAAAAAAAAGAAAAAATAACTTGATCATTCAAGGTAAAAAATATAGTGTTGAATATATTGAAGGTATAATAAGTGAACCTCAGAGGGAAGTACTTAGAGATGCGGGGGGGGGGGGGGGCAACACTGAGAGGAAGTCTTATCGTGTCAGGTGATGATTTAGATTTTATTTCTCCGTGTCATTTACCACCGTTACCACCCGGAGTCATCGGTTCGGTCACCGTACAACCAGGATGATACAACTTCGATTTCATTTTGAATTCTCTACCGGGAGTGAGTTTTCGAGTAAATCGAGAATCCAAAAAGGTGACGTTAGGCGTACAAAAAAAGTCTCCGGTTTCTGGTATGGAGCTTGCCCAAAAAGTAGTGCGGCGACGCGGTTTTTTTTTTTTTACCTGACATTTTTGCTTCAAATGTCGGCTGATGACTGCAAATGGTGCCCGACTAAACTTAGTGCAAATATATGGGAGTCCAGAGAGGTTACATAAAGCTTATTCTCGACCATAACCCAATCTAAAAACACGTTAAAATTGTGCACTAGCAGGATTCCAGTCAAACCAGTGAGTTTGGCGGTTTAGAGACATCATCTTTCATTGAAAAAAAAAAATTCATTTTGCCGACGCGCATGGCTACGGCGACGCGCGCGCATACCAGAAGCCGGAGACTTTTTTTTGGCCTTAGTGGTAAGCGGCGTTAATCTCAAATTGCGTTTCAACAGAGAAGTCTCTCAATTATTCAATTTACCCAAGGCAATACTAATACCTAATTTTAAGTGGTGCATACGGGATCTTACCACGCTAATCAATTTGCACTGTGTTTATTCACTGCCAACAGTTGAGTTCTAGCGAAACATTCCACGACGATCGACCGTCAGACATCGTAAAAATCGCCTCCGTTTTTTCGCGCGAATCTGACCCAAGTAGAGCTGGTGGTTTCAAAATACTGAAAAACGGTATAATCGACAAACTGAGATTTAGAAATCGTTTCATTTTAAAATCGCTATAAATTAAGAAAAAAACATGAGTCTAGCTAATAAGCCGATGATTGCTATTTATTCTGAGCTTCGAGAGATGTACTGCTGTTAAATAGCAACGAAGAAACAAAGGTGTACAGAGTTAAAAAGATCGAAGAGATTTGATCTCAAATCTTAAAAGAGAGAAACCACCGAGGGCGCACTTATGAAAATAAAAGAAAGTAATCGACAAGATCAAGTACGTATGATTGGGAGTTGAAGCAGGTCTGTCAGTATCCCGGCTATCTTGGGTATCATAATTATCACATGTGGGGTGCTGTGGTCCAATGGTTACGGTGTTTGACTCGTGTGTCGTGGTACGTGGGTTCGAATCCTGACCGTGGGGACATTGTGCTTGTGCTCTTGAGCAAGGCACTTTACCAATATTGCTTCGTCCTTTGGATGGGACGTAAAGCCGTAGGTCCCGTGTTTGATGCAATGCATGTTAAATAACCTATGACCCAGTAACACTTTTCGCTAAGAGAGGGGTTTGCACCGGTGTTTCTGGCAGTGGTTGCTATATGCGCTGCAGCACCTTGTAAACCCTTATAAAGTGCTACATAAAAGGTCTCATATTTCTCATGAATTTTATTTTCCTTTCTTTGATAACAGACATAAATACCAGCGCCTTGAGGACCTTATTGTTGGTAGATACGTGCGCTATATAAGACTCCGGTAGTAATATCAGCTCTCGTTGGATTGACGTTGGAAGGACAACCCCATTAGAATATTAGCAGACTCTAAACTCAGCACGATTGAAGAATACGTGTCTCGGGCCATCAACGACGGAGATATAACGCACGAAGAGTTTTTATTGATTACAAGTGAGCTCAAACATTTTAAAGAGCTCAAAAAGGGGTCAAAGACTAGCACAAAGCTAAAAAAAACAATGAGTGAGTCGGACTTCGAGAAAGAAAAAAAAAACACGGTTAAATAAACAGTTGACAAAAGAGAAATATCTCTTATTCAAGTTCGGATTCCCAGTGAATAAATGTTATCAGTAAGGCCCACCTAGTTATAGCGTTAGCGTAGGGATCGGCGTGCTTTTTTAAAGCTTTTATAAAATTGATTTTGGGTCACTTCAAATAAATCTCTGACACGTTCTTTATCAAATCCAACTAAGTTGCAATAATACGCCGCTATTAAAGATCCCTACCTTTTCAGAGGTTGGGAGCAACTTTTTTCCCCGCGTGTTGCAAGGTCGCAAGCTGCGTGTCCAGGTTAGCCCAACACGTTTAAGGTCGCGCCTGGTGGGGCAAATCTAGACTCGTCGCCCGGGGCCATTTTTCACAATTTGTAGAGACGCTAGCTGCGTGTCCAGACTTGCCACTCTTTTTTTACTATTTGGTCAGGACCCCCCTTTCCTACTACTCAAGTTTTTTCCCGATTGCACAAAGTAAGTGAGTTTGACCAAGTTTTTCAACAAAAGATAACATTCAAGTGGATGGTACGTTGATACAACAATTTATAATTGGACAGTTCACGTTCAAAGATTTTAGTCTCCTTAAAGCCGTTGATTGTCTTTTTTTCTGGATCCTTGTTGTTTTCGCATTTCAATTTAACTGATTTTCCACAACTGTTCCCAATTATTTGAACTAATGAACAATTTCGACATCTGCATTGTCAATTTCAACCGGTTCCTTTATGGCTCGTCCTCCGAAAATGAAATATAATCTCTTTGGTTTTCTGTACATTTATAATCAGATGATTTCTGTCGCACCACTCGACAAATTAATTTATATCATACCAATACATGTACTCCGCCTCAGAATTATTGGTGATCAGCCCAGGTGAGGCGGTGTCATCAGCATGTTTTGTCGTGACAGATGATATATTTTCAGGACAAAAGTCACTAGTGTACAAAGAAAACAATAAAGTTGATAAGACACAAACCTAACCCCTTGTGATCTGCCAGTGAGCCAACATTACTTACCAAAGTTGGTATGCGGCGTGGTAGTCACCGCAGCATAACAAAGGTTGAAATAATCCGCACAGCAGTCGTCGAGCACCATACACAGATTATCGCAAACGCACGATCCATGATAGCCGGAATCACACCCACTCAAACAGGAGCCTGCATGGAAATTAAAAAAAAAAATATTATCACTACAAAAGTGTTTTTGGACAAACAGCAGCTGTTTCGGCTGTTTGAAATGACTCTGTAAACTGACACTAGATGACGTGAAGATAACTATTTTATTTTTATTTACTTTAAATCTTTAGACATTACAATCTAAAATGTAAGCAGGGGCTGTCACGGAATGAACAAAAGTACAAAAACTGTCATCAAATGATGTGCTCATTCGTACCCCTGATTACAATTAAGGTAAAATTACAAAGGTTCGGATAAAAATCGATATTGATAACTGAAATGAAAAAAAAGACAAGACCCCCTCCACACCAAAAAGAACAAACGCCACAAAACAATGGCCACCCTCAGAACTGTATAAACAGGACAAAAGACAATTGGAATTTCCATCCAAATAAAAAGGTCCGAAAAAATAGGCTTATGAAAAGGGCTAAAACAAGCTGAGAAAAGGGGTTAAAAAGGCAGATAAAAATTGCAAAACCCTGCAAAACGGGCCCAATTTTACAACAATTATACAAATTACACACCAAACCAGGACTTAAGTCAATTGGAATCCCAACCAGGCAAAAAGGGCAGATAAAAGGAGCTGATAAAAAGGGCTGAACAAATATCTGATAAAAATGACAACATCCTACAACACGGGCCACAACAATTAAAAATTGCTTAAACTCTTCAACAACCGAGCTCTGAATACTTTAAAAGACCCTTCCATAACGTAAATGTGTGTACCAAGTCTGAGGTCGATTGGATTTGAGAAAGTGCCGAAGTGTATGGGTGGAAGAAAAACGAGTACAAAACTTATGGAGAGTCTGAAAAAAAAAATGCCTGCTGAATTCCCCATCCACTGTGATTGCACTGATCAATAGGCTTCACTTCCAGTACATACAACATCATCAAGGAGTATCGTTGCGAAGTGGTGGTGTGAGTCTATCACAGGAGGTAAGTATTCAAGCTGTCGACAGACTACATTTGACAGGTTTATGCTCCACGTGTCGTGACATACAATACCCCAATTGGCCTTGATAGTAATCTTCCACTCTCCTCTGAGCCTTTAGTCAAGTCCCACGCGCCTATACCCGGACCATCCGGACACGTAACGCACCCCGGATGCTGGCACGTAAAAAAGACTAGCACGAGCGGCGAAGCCGCGAGGGCCTTTACTATCTCGTGGAACTAATCACTTATTCATTTATTCACGTAATATAAATCAAGCAGTATAAACCAATCATCTAACGGTGGTTTGCGGTTACCAGCAACAGCACGCGCGCCATGGCGCGCTGGCTGTCTGGCGCCAGACGACGGCTGATTTACGTTAGTAATTCTGCAGTTCATTGGTCAATTCACAACGGGTAATGCATTATGCATGTCTACCAAATCGGTAGACAAATGTAAGGAAAAACATAAGCGTTCTCCGCGAGATGGTAAAGGCCCTCGCGGCTTCGCTTGCTCGTGCTAGTCGTTTTACGTGTCAGCATCCGGGGTGCGTCACGTGTCAGGGTAAGCGCGTGGGACTTGACTAAAGGCGACTCTCCCCTCAGAGGGAACACGTACTACCGTCTATAGGCTTGTATACAAGTCTCACTGGGACTGAAATGGATAAACGGTTAAAATCGAGCTTTCTTTCTTAATTGATTATTTGTTTAACTTATTCGTCATTTGGAAAGTCTGAGCCACATATTCAGAGAGAAATATTAGGGAGCTGTTGAGGTTGCTAACCATCCCCTCCAAATGCCAAAAATATATATACAAAAACAATTCCTTCATTCAGTCAATATCGGAATATTCAGTCAATTTCGGCAGGACCAAATGGGATTCAGTCTTCAATTTGATTGTAAATGGAAATTTACTTACCCAAAACAGCCACTTGGAACTTGCATCCGAAGGCAACAAAAGCGAGGATGACAAACGCCGCAGAGAAAGATCTCCCCGACCTTTTGTTGAACATGGCGTCCATGACAACTTGTTCTAACTCTGTATAAATTTTCCAATGTCACACTCACTTATTTTCCTTGTGTCTTTTTCATTGAAAACATGTACCAACATTGCTCCGTGCAAGATGGAAAATGAGGAAGCAATTTCAGTACGGCTTATATATACATTCCGCATAGTCAATGTCTCAACCCGTGCAGCTACGTTTGGTTTGATGAAAGTCAAAGTCAAAGTTGACTTTGCAATGTTGTTTACCCATCTGAGAGTGTAAGTAGGCCTAATTGACATGAAACATATCCAACTTTCCCCAATTTCCTTGTTGGCCGAGCTGACATTGTAATGTTTGCTATGACTGTTTGAAGAAGGAAATAGAAATATATTTCCTGATTGACAGGATACGTAGACCGTCTCTGAAGAATTGGCAAGACTGCTCGAGGAATAAACAAAATATATCACTTCAATAGCGGCCACTGAAAGAGTTATAGGGCTACACAATGAACTTTTCATGAAAGATACTTTCCGCTGATATCAATCTATATTTGGCTTGTTGGAAAACAACTGAGCAACCTATTATCTTACATTATCGCTATTTCTAAACTTCATGCTATTTCGTCACAGTAATGGTGAATGTCAATTTTGGGACTCATACTGTTTCGAGTTCTGGAAATATATTGGTACATATTGTTTACTCAATTGTTGAATGGCATAAACAACGTTATTCGTGAGCTTTTGACCTCCGACCTCATAAACTATTGACCTAAAAAATGAATGAAAGTATTGGTGGGGTAAGGGGTATTTCTTCCCATCCCCAGTATTTTGTAAAGACTGCCCTTTCCATCGAAATGCCTTTTTTTCCAGCGCTTAACCCCCCCCCATATTTTTAAGAGTGTCCTTCTTTTGTTTACAAGTGCCCTTTTGCAAAAAAGTCGTGCCCTTTTCGTGCCAGCAGCCTCTACGAGTGCCGTTTTTGTTAAATTTTGCGCATTTATCGCCCTGTAAAGCGCCATATAATTATTGTCCGTTAGTGTGCATACTTGTCGGTTTTAAACAGCACCCCCATCGACTAATGGAACCAGCTCCCCCTGCCATTATTTGATTTTAAGAATGCCAATTTGTCCGGAGAAATAAAAAAATGTGTCTTTATTTCAACATGGATGTGCAAGTGCCCTTTTCAAGAAATTGTTGCCCCTCCCCCAAATAAATATGACCTTGCTACGCCCCTGATTCTTGGTGTCTTCTGTATTCTTAACAGCTACGACACCTTGGCCTTAAAGCTGTACCCATGCATATCAATATTTGCATTAGCATACAATCTCACACCTGCTAAAAGTGGTCATGGAATACCTCTTTGAAAGGCTTAACGGCGTTGGCTTCTTAGGCCAAATGGGACAGCAACATTCATGGCCAAGTTTCAAGTATGAACACACAAAATATGCTGGACAAAGCACGTGTACATATATGTGCTTATTATTTTTTTCTCTCATGATGATAAAAACGAGAAGAAGTTCCTATCACAAGATCCTAGATCCGGGTTTGATGCGTCGATCCCGGATCAACAGTGCTCATCTCAACTTGGCAATCGATTTGAAATCAAAACAAACACAGCATGAAAGGCAATTTGTTTTAAAGTTTGCTTGTTTGTTAATTTTGCTCAGCGAAAGAAGTCACCGGTCACAATTTCGCGCGACGTGTATTGCTAATTACACGTACTCGACTGGTTCCAATCTGATTTGTATTTAGCACGCAAAGTGAAATTTCAGCAAGCAAGATTTCAATTTAGATATGAATGCAGTAACAAAAAAATGAAGATGTCACTTTCTGCCCATGTTTATTGCGACTAATGTTCTTAAATTAATACAGAGGAAAAGTGGGCTTTTTTTATTGCTCTTTTTTGGGGGGAGGAGGTTATTTGGCGATGTGATGACTCATTCTCATTGAAACATGATCTCACATTAACTCAACCTCTAAAGTTAGTCAACAATCAAAACAAAAATGCACAACATTGCTGCTTTTATTTTAAGACTTGGGGCAAGCACAATGCAAGCCTATTTCAGTTGCAACTTTCACGTAAGAACAGAATTTCCGTGTATTCATGTTGGGGATCAGGGAGCATATAGCCATGAATAGGTCAACCTTCATGTAAACTCACGTGCTTTGGGCTGACGTTGCTGATTGGCTGCGAAAGTGAATGCACAGTTCTTGTAAATGCTATGAGCATTGTTCTCCTGACCCCTGGGTCTTGAAAGCGCGTTCACGGAAATACTTGTACGAGAATAAACGCTGTTGTTAATGCTATTAATAACTGGAAGTTCAAGAGTGTATCGACATATCCGATCAACCCTTAGCGGAGAGGCAGATTTCCTGGAGATGCCTGACACAACTTATCACACAACAGTTTAACTGAGCAAAGTGATGTTCCTTCCTCGTGACTGGTTGCATTGTTCTACAAAAGGTCTCATTTTTATTCACTGACTGACTGTGATGTGTGGCTTAGCCCGGTTGTAGGTTGGTAAAGAGAGCCCTACAGTGCTGCCAAAATAATAGGCTTAGGCCTACCCCGTAAACGGTCGAATCCGTACTCGCAAAAAAACGGGTTACTTGTAGCGATGGAAGGGGGGGGGGCTGAGAGGGGGAATGGAGGGTATGACATGCATGTAATCAGTGTACTTCCTAGGTGCGTTCATTCGCTCGCTGCACCGGCATATTTTTGTTTTGAGGGGAGGGGGGATTTGGTACCATCCATCTCGCAAAGCTACTCTATGGTGTTTAATTAATACTGAACTTGTTCCCGATAAACGTTTGCATATAATATATCTCAAACCTGACCATCTCACAAGCTGACAACAAAGAAATGTGCCTAGGAGGACACACGTCTGCAATGGGCACATTATTAGTGAATCAAACATTGGGTTCAGGATGTCTGTTTCTGACTGTCTACAAACGACTGAACGGAAATTGTTTGTGTATTTCAAATTTTGTTATGTGTAGCATTCTTACTTCAAGTAGCGGATCTGGACCGGGAATGCAACTACTTCCCTTTTCTATTAAACTGGGCCAAAATGTATTCTCAATTGCCTTTGAATGCAGGAGAAAGCATCGCAGATTTCAACATTTTCCGGAGCGGGGGGGGGGGGGGAGGAATGCCTAGCGCGGCATGCCTAGCGCGGCATTCCTTTTGCACAACTTTAATTCCCCCCCCCCCATATCAACAACCCCCGTTTCCAGACAGTTAGATCCGCCCCGGTAATTCGCAAGACCACACTTTAATATTAGACAATCATCTTCTTTTAATATTTTTTTCAAAACTGTTTTTTTTTTAACCAACATGCAGTTTTACAAATTCACTAGATTGGAGGTATATACACCACTCATAAGTTTCCCCATACCCAAACACAAACAAACAAATCACCCGGTGAGTCGACATTTGTCAATTTGGATGGCACAGAACAAGTAAAGATGTTTGTTGTTCGTACCTAATCTCCTTTCAAACGTAGTTTCTCTTTGAAAAAATAACCAAACAAAACCCCCGACAACACTTTTAAAATATACAAATTGCTCCAATATTCGGAAATCATAAATTATAGGCCTATATATCAAATGTGGTGAACCATTACAGCTTATATACAACCGGCAAAAAAAGCAAACAAAGTTATTATAATTACGTTCATTTTATTATTTGAATTATCTAGTTGAGGGATTCGTGTTGGCTCAGCATTGGGTTAACATTGTGGCTATCAACTTGCCTACAGTCGGTTTGTCTTAAAAATATATATCGCTGTAATACAATGCTTTATTTATGTCAGCTGTAGCGATCACTAACAGTTTGCAAAAATATCGGTTATGCTAAATATTTGATACTCGGTTCTTATAATTATTCGATTCTCCATAAAATATTTTCTCTCGATCCTGCATATTATTGAAGTGGTTTCTGATTACAAATTTTGCCTTGGGAAAAATACGACTCTGTTTTTTCCTTCACTGATTTTAAAAGACTTCATGTCGAATAATGTATTTTTTTCCGAATGTTTTACTAACTATCATTTTGGAACACTAACTGATTTGTTGTCTATAATTTATAACCTATAATTCCTTGCAGCATATTCATATATGCACAACTTAAAACATGCATAACATTTGATAAAATTTGCTACAAATCGGCTCAAGTTTGCTACAAAAATGGCTACAACTGGCTACAAAACAGTTTACAGAATGACCAAGCGTGGATTGGGGGGGGGGGGGGAGGGGGCAAAACCCCCCAACCCACCCCTTAGCTCCGTCAATTTTGGTTTTCCACAGAAATTCATGAAAAAAACAAAATGCTCCGTACCCAACCTTTTTTTGGGCAAGTACATGTAATAGTGCCCGCCTTGGACAAAATATGTACATAGCCAGCTTGTTAGGGGGTATATGTACATTTTTCCGTGATATAGTGTTATCAATCGTCGGATTTGAACAGCGCACCCATTGAAAGTATGATACGAGCCCCCCCCCCCCCCCCCCCCCCATTTTGATTTAACGGAGGCAAAGTATAAGGAGAAAAAAACGTGTTTGTATTTCAGATTTTTTTTGCCGATGAAACCCCAACCTCTGCGAAAATGAAATACCACAGGCTAAAGTTCAGTGATTAACATAGAATAACGCTGAAGGAGCTTAAACACTTTAAATTTTTGCTTCACTGTAATCCTGATACCACAACTACCCCATACCTCAACAGATGCATGGAACAAGCATGGCTCAACCTTAACTGTGAACCTTTCTAAGGGCATGTGACCATTCAGCCCTGGTATGAAAAGCCCCCCTCGGTAAGCTCCTTCGCTCCACAAAAATCCTTCGTACCGGCTCAGCTACCGGGTCCGGTGGCTGATCAGAAACTCTTCCAACCTGGGGTAAGACGAAACCCGCTCGTGGTTTCATCCCTCAACAATAGAAACAATAGAAAACCTTCGTCGGCACTGACCAAAACCGCTGCCATGCGGTTTCTCACTCAATGGAACCCTAAATTACCAACGGATTTGGAAGGATTTTATCTGCAGAGCGAAAAAAAGAGCCCCATCACAAGCCCTGAATCTCTTGTCACAAACCTTCAATCTCTTGCCACAAGTCGATAAGTCTTCTTTTGTGCTGCTGTGGACTTCTGGTGAGACAGGCATATGTACCAGACGATACTGGGCTAAAGACCGGACTGGCTCTGGACCGGACGAGGTGGGGGGGGGGGGGGCTTTTCATATCAGAGCTGAATGGTCACGGTACCTAACAATTGCAACGTAGTCTTCCTATTGCGGTGATGTCACAGAGATCTCCATTTCCGCAGTCTTCCCGGATGACGGCAAAGTGTGAGCCGTTGCGGACATCATTTCCGACTCGTTAGACTTTCCAGGATGCAATGTTGGCAAGCGGCACTCATGGCCGCAGCAGATGCGCTTCATGTAGGGCGCCAGGGTGGTGCGGACCTCCTCACGTCGAGCGCAGAACATAACGAACACAATCACACCCTACAATTGGAACACATAATTACGACGCTTTCAAAGGGCTTGGTTATCTAAGAGAGTCTCTCCATTTACAGTGATGTTGGTTATGTAGTTCCCACCCATATTGTTAACATGATACACTTAAAATTGAAATAGTAAGTTAAAGAGAAAAAGACAGAGATACAAATCTGTTAAGCAAAATCTTGGAAAGAGTTACACAGTGAAGCTGTAGAAAGAAATCACCCCACCATACACCTTAGAACACAGACGTGTTAGGATGAAAGTAGGAAGAAAATCGATACGAGTAGGTAAAGATACGCGACGGAGGACCGAGGAGTGGTAGTCTACTTCAGCACATCTAATGAAAGTACCGGTAAAATAAACTCTGGGTTCTTGAAAGGAAGCCACAAGGCCCTATCCCCGTGAGCTACAATTAGGTTAGTAAAGGTGTGGTAAGTGTGGCTGTACCGTGCTCAAAATAGGCGCTAAGAAACTACACCCACCTGCAAAGAGTTGGCCAGACAGAAGATGAGCTGAAATGCAAATGCCGCCTCGTTGATGGCAAGGAACCCAAAACACCAGGTCAGTCCCATGAGGGCGGAGATTCCCACGGCATTCTGGAGGCGTTTAGAGATCTGCTGTGAGCGAGATGCCTCTTTGACCTTCAGGAGACTGCGCATGACCAAGATGAATGTAATGATGTTGTGGATGAGGATCAGACCAATTGGAACAAGGAGGCCGAGGTACAGCACAAGACCAGGTTCAAGGAAGCAACTGCAAATGTAGAACAATGATTTTGTTTGTTTAGGTAGGAAATACCAGCTGAAACACAGTGCTAAATTACCTGTAAAAATATTACAGGTTTTTCTGGAATAAAATTCTGTTCAATAGAGGGCGCGCCTCATATAAAGATAATTAGGTAGAGGGGGGAGGGGGTGGTGAATCAATTTACTTACTAATGCTCGTTGGCATAGTGATGTGATGCTGCAGCCAATGTGATTATCAACACAATTAATGGTGTACCTAAAAAGGGAGATTAAAATCTTAAAGGAATGCAAACACTTTTTAATAAACGTATGTCATTACTCCAGGATTTGGCTCAATATTGATAATAATAATTTGCTTGTTGTCTGTTTTCAAGTGATGTTTGAGCTGAGACATAAACTCACCCCAAGCGATGAGGCAAGCCTTGAGCATATATCGAGGCGTGTCTTCTGGGAACACCTTCACCGTACTGACGTACATGTTCCTGGCTTCAACAGCCATCCACATCATGGTGGACAGAGTCAAGTAGTGGAGTAAAGCAGCCACAAACACACAACTGCCTCCAGAGCCCTTTTAAATTGAAGGAGATATACATGTAATTACAAACATATAACGTACTATTATCGTTTGAAAAGCAAAATGAAATGTTCAAAGAACGGGTGCAATCAATGTTTTTCAAGATATGGACACTGACCTTAATACCGACTTGACTTTGCTACGTCTGTCTCTTGGTCAAAGGAGACATACACACCTTAAACTAACTTTAAAGTTGCCTGCGTTGTGAAAGATACTTATGTAAAATGCTAACCTTAGCATTGTCAACACCAGCAAGAAACACGATGTACAACATGAACAAAGAGAAGCAGAAGTGGATAAAGATCTGACGAGATTTGCCGCTCCGCAGTTTCCTTTAAAAAAGTAAAGATTTTTTTTGTGACAGAGACAAACCTACACAAAAGAACATACGGGTGTGCAAATGGTAGTAATTATACAGAGAAACATGGTTGGCTTGAAATTTGCTGTTCGTTTCATTACATTATCTTACCTAATGGCTAAGTATATGATCAGCGTGATAGCAAGAGCTATGATTGACAGTGCAGCGCCAACCTGGCTGATGATATCAAGCGCTCGCTTAGCAGGAGTGTCATCTTTATCATCAGGTGCTTGGCCCTTCACGTCCTGAAAGAAACGACAAACCAGTTACCAATCCAGAAAATATTCGTAATAACATTTATGAATCAATCAAGTAAACAATCTCCTTATTGCAGATGTGGGAAAAAATATAAAGAATGAAAATAAACAATTTGTTGGCATTGAAGATAGGAATTTGGAAAATAATTTTAAAAAAACCCCAGGAAAATCAAGTATATTTCATAAAACTTTTGTTTTTGTCAATATATCTCATTCTTTTCCTACCTTAACGGACCTACCCTTTTCGTATTGCTCAAAGTAGTGTGACCTTTTCATAAAGAGAGCCAGGTGTAGCCAGTTCTCAACTTGCTCCTATATTAAGCTGCCTCATTACTAAAAGGGGTACTCTTTTGGTTTGTGCCCTGCGGGAGTCTAGTCACTCGAGCCTGCGTTTTTTACATTTCTTAAATGGGAAAAAGCTTTAGTGGTTTGGATCACAATAAGATTACCCTACACGTACCACTAGGATTGCGAAATTGGTGGCATGAGAGCAATTACACGCGACTGTCTTATTGGTCACTTCAGTAAGCGCGCATCCATCTGTTGTCCAATCTCCGACTCCATCTTCCAGCTCAAAGTCCCAGGACACGCAGTAGACTTCGCTTGATTCCTCCTGATTAGCGAGATTGAAAGATCGCTAAAAGGTTACACAATTGAGAGTAAAATCTAAAATGATTAACTTGGACATTGAAGTTAAATTGCCAAGACATGCCCTACTGAAATAATGAAGTAGTCTACATTTTAAAATCTTCGCTTGTTTCATCAGAATATTAATTATCTCATGATCACCTTGAATTGAATCACGACTGGTTCAGTGAGGTTGACAAGTTTAACATTCTCCACAGTCAGTGAGACGACAGATCCAGCGACCTTACGAGTCGAGTTACCCTCCCCTCGATACTCTCTGATTGAAGCAGACTGAAACAACGTGTCATCAGCGTAGATCAGGAAACTGGCTTGTAGCTTGGCAGAGCTGTTATCTGCATTAGAAGAAATAAGTAAAAAGGTAAATTTCTCATCTTGGTTGTTTTTCATTTCCCCTGCAAAAAATGTGATCAACAATACAATTGATGATGTTTCGTAGTGTCTTCCATTTAAAGTTTTATAAGATCTTATAAAATTGATACAGAGGTTTATGTTTTAGTGAGTTTTAACAAGTATTTACAGTTTAAATGTTGTAGGATTGGATCAGTGAAATGACTATCTTGGTCATCCCCATTCAACATACCGAAGTGTTTTTCCTTATCTCAACATGTCCACCTAACTCCACTTCAAGTACAGCAATGCGTCTCTTGAGGAACACAAGCACAATCAACGGCTGGATTTAAACCATCTGTAGACTCTATGCCATCACCGCGAAGGCTCTTCTTTTGAAAAATCAAAGTATCGATTCTTGACATAGTCTTTGATCATAAATGATGGACTTACCATAAGGGGACTGTAGCAAGTCGATGATGTTGTCAGGCAACCGAGCCGATGCCAAGACATCGAGATCCTTCGGTATCACACTGGAGTTCAAAGTCTCGACCTTGGTACCAGCAAGGGTGCCCTCTTGCGGTGACCCTTGTGCAGGATGCGTGACATTGGAATGTTTCACGGACACGAAGCTGAGTCCATTCCTTGCCTGGTTTGGGTCAAGACTGACCGCCTCCACGTGAATAGAGTCCTGACGTATACTAACTTTACCCTCTTGCTGAAGTGTCAGGGAGATTTGAGTCTCCACGGATTTAACGATGGCTGAGGAGGTACTAGCCTCTATTGTAGTGGGCTCTGAGTCATCAGAGGTTTCAGGCCCAACACTCATGATGACATTGCTGACAGTCTCTAGCACTAGTTCTGTCACCTTCAATAAAATCGAGATTATCACTTATTTCAGATACAGATTATACTACCAAATTACTGGTTCTTCTTTGAATCATTTAAGTCTTCCGTCTGGAATGGCAATTCAACATACCTCCGTGTCCCCCGATTCTGCTTTTGCGATGTTCTTCAAAATATTGGCAACCACCTCAACATCTTCAGCCTCCTTAGATGACTCTGACGTCTGATTGGCAAGAAACTCGGCCACTTCGATTGCGTTGCCTTTGCTAACCTCAACCTGTCAACGAGTATGATTCATGGTCACATTATGGTATCTTCATATTTAAGTCTTTTAAAATACCTCCTCTGATTACTCATTTGCTTGCGGTGCGGTCATAAACTAGATCCTCTCTGCAAGAGCCGCCATTTGAATGTTTTTTTTTTTGGAAAATTGAGCCATCATACCAACTAACGTCCTAAGATAAAAAAAACCCAACAATTACCTTCACCACGTCTTTGAGAGAGACTTCCTCCTGGACTTCCCCGCATTCACGAGTCTCCTGTTCGTCCCATCGGAAGTACAGAGGCGGCTCAAACTTTGAACAGTTCCGGACAGCTATGGGTTGACCAGCTTCATAAAAAATGATCAAAACATTAATTCACGTGAACAAAACAGTTTTCCTGAAGGAACTGAGTTGTACACATTAATACCCCCCCAAAATTGAGACTTCCGGCCAAAAACAGCAAACGAAAAAGAGGTGGAGAGATGATGTTGATGACTACAAGAAATTTAGATATATCAGGCAGAACAAGGAACATTTCGGACCAGGGAGAAAGTTTCAAAGACTGTGAGAGATTCTGAAGTCAAACCATTTGCAGTGGTCAGTGAACATCGCTGTACAGACTTGGCAGTGGATCCAGCTACTGCTACAGGCCATCTCAGACCGTCACTGGTTGTGTTGGTTGGGCACTGACCTGTTGTGAAAGCACGACCAACAGTTCCTTCACCAGTCTCTCACTTGGTTAATGCTCAAGTTTGTTTTAATATAATATCCTGAAAAGGAGTCCAAACAAACCATTTGAACTATCTTTTGCGATTCTTCAAATACTCGGAATATCTCACCTTGTACCACAACAAAGAAAGAACATTCCAAGAGCAGGTTGTATGCTGCAAACCATTGCTGATAGTCTACTCGGTGAGTTCCTATCAACAATTCAACACCAGGATTATAGCTTGAGGTGAAGTTTGTTGGTCCGTCCCATCCAGTTAGATCCGAATCCGACCAGCTCACACTGGTACTGGTCCAGCCAGGACTTGCTAATGCTGAGACATTTGCTGGGCAGACGAGTTCCACAACTAAGAAAACAGACCAAATAGTTATAACAAAGTACAAAAGCGTGATCTAGTGCGTACATCTGAGGAAGAAATATTTGTTCTAATTTATATAGGAATATACGACAAACTATACACGTGGAAAACGGCTGCAATCTAATATGGCCCAAGTTTCTCCCCTTGCCAATGAAACTAAACTAAAGCAGATACTTGGTGTCCATGAGATCTGTACTGCAAATCAAATTAAAATATAGAGATTGAATCGAGCACAAACCTGTAACCGTCACAGTAAACGTACAGCCGTTCCTGTTCCCAGACGCATCTTCAGCTCTGTACGTAATCGTGGAAACTCCGACTGAAAACGTTCCAATTCCAGCTTGGTCGCAGTCACTGGCTGTGGCTGCTAAGCAGCTGAACGCCAAATCCACTTCACGAGCAGAGTTGTCAGATGCGATTGGAGGAGTCCACCTGTGATGTACCTGATTGGCCGATGAGCTGACAGGGATGATGATGTCAGCTGGACAGTCATCAAGCTGAGGAGGCTCGTTGTCTAGAATGGTATAAACATATTGACTGTAATTAGTAGCCAGTGTGTCTTATCACGATTCTGTATCTTATGTCCAGCACGACAATACTTTTTATACCCATCTGTTACTCAGTTAATGCTAAACATCGGTTTAAAATGATATCCTGCTTAGGGGTTGAAACAAACCCTTTGAACTATCTTTGCCAAGTCTTCAAATACTTCAAATGTCTCACCTAATACCACGACAAAGAACGAACACTCCAAGTTCAGGTTATATGCCTCAAAATATTGTTGGAAGTCTACTCGGTGAGTTCCTATCAACAACTCAACACCAGGATTTGAGCTTGAAGTGAAGTTTGTAGGTCCGTCCCATCCAGTTAGATCCGGTTCCGACCAGCTAACACTGGTACTGTTCAAGCCAGGACTCGTTACTACCGAGATATTTGCTGGGCAAACGAATTCCACATCTGAGAAAACAAAACAAAATAATTATTTACAAGTGCCAACAGACATATCCTCTTTGTACAATTGATATACGACTAACTGATTGAGGGCTGCAATATTAGAGGGCCCACAATTTTACCCAAGCCGATGAAACTAACCAAAAGTTTTATGGAGTCATTGATCAATCTGTATTGCAAACCAAATCCAAAGAGTCTGTACATTGGACACAAACCTGTAACCGTCACAGTAAACGTGCAAACGTTCTTATTCCCAGACGCATCTTCAGCTCTGTACGTAATTGTGGAAACTCCGACTAAAAACGTTCCATTTTCAGCTTGATCGCAGTCACTGGCTGTGGCTGCTAAGCAACTGAACGTCACATCCACTTCACGATCAGAGTTGTCAGATGCGATTGGAGGAGTCCACCTGTGATGGACCTGATGGGCCGATGAGCTGACAGGGATGATGATGTCAGCTGGACAGTCATCAAGCTGAGGAGGCTCGTTGTCTAGAATGGTAAAAACATATTGACTGTAATTAGTAGCCAGTGTGTCTTATCACGATTCTGTATCTTATGTCCAGCACGACAATATTTTTTATACCAATCTGTCACTCAGTTAATGTTAAACATCGATTTAAAATGATATCCTGCTTAGGGGTTGAAACAAACCCTTTGAACTATCTTTGCCAAGTCTTCAAATACTTCAAAATTCTCACCTAATACCGCTACAAAGAACGAACACTCCAAGTTCAGGTTATATGCCTCAAAATATTGTTGGAAGTCTACTCGGTGAGTTCCTATCAACAACTCAACACCAGGATTTGAGCTTGAAGTTAAGTTTGTAGGTCCGTCCCATCCAGTTAGATCCGGTTCCGACCAGCTAACACTGGTACTGTTCAAGCCAGGAATCGCTATTACCGAGATATTGGCTGGGCAAACGAATTCCACAGCTGAGAAAACAAAACAAAATAATTATTTACAAGTGCCAACAGACATATCTCCTTTGTACAATTGATATACGACTAACTAAGTGAGGGCTGCAATATTAGAGGGACACAATTTTACCCAAGCCGATGAAACTAACCAAAAACATAATGGAGTCATTGAGATCTGAATTGCAAACCAAATCCAAAGAGTCTGTACACTGGACACAAACCTGTAACCGTCACAGTAAACGTGCAAGCGTTCTCATTCCCAGACGCATCTTCAGCTCTGTACGTAATTGTGGAAACTCCGACTGAAAACGTTCCATTTCCAGCTTGGTCGCAGTCACTGGCTGTGGCTGCTAAGCAACTGAACGTCACATCCACTTGACGACCAGAGTTGTCAGAGACCATTGGAGGAGTCCACCTGTGATGCACCTGATTGGCCGATGAGCTGACAGGGATGATGACGTCAGCTGGACAGTCGTCAAGCGTAGGAGGCTCGTTATCTAAAATGGTATAAACATTGTAATACACTGTGTTTATTCACCAAAGAATCAATAAAATCACAGAGTGCTCCAGCGGTTTTGGGCGCTACAGGAAGTATAAAGGGTGTCTAATAAAAACACCTGTGTGTTATATTGCGGTTCGGTATATAATGTCCAGTTTAAACCTATTTTGTTTGCTGGTTCCGGCAGGGAGTAGCCACTAGTTCTCTTTGTTGTCTGACTGTCTCACTGACTGACTGTAACTTGTGAGTAGAACTTGTGTACGTCTCCCTCTGGCCCAATAGTTTGCAAAGGGATTACCATGTGACACAAATTAAAGGGCTAAATCCAGCCCATTTGAACAAATGGATGAAATCTCCCAGTGCACAGCCATTTTGAATCGGTTGAATAGAGGTCAGTGCACTCTGGAAACAGCTAGTCTGTCTTGTTTATTATGTGTTCAATAAATTTAATGACTGTTTCTAATACCACACATAGGCCAAATGTAAAGCAGTATCATGCGCGAATAGTAGAAAGTCAAAGAAAAATGGTACCCGAAGCAGCAGTCTATTTTTTGTTTTACCTTCGACAGTGACGAGGAAATCGCATTCGATCTTTGTGCCCTCTACCTGGTAGAAAACGGGAGTCGATCCGATACCGAAGGACTCCCCAGGATAGTTGTCCGAAAGCAACAGAATTGCTGTCCCTCCATCATCACGGGAGTATATGCCACCACTACCACTGGCAATCAAGTGGTCTCCTGATGACAATTGATCAAAATGCATCCCACTGGTACCCTGCCCCTGAGGTGAACTGAAGATCACTCGGGGTTTTGCCCACGAAACAGAAGTGTCGTTACTTCCCGGATCAGTGGCAGCTGTGATATCGGCCGGACAGCGAAGTTCAACCCCTGCAAAGTGAGAACGATGACACCATGTTGTGTGCAAATCTTATAAAATGTCTTATAAAGTAATTTCAAACTGAGAAAATTTATGAAACAGAATAGAAATGTAGAAGTGTTTTTGTTTGTTTTGGAGATGGGTACCTACCTGTCACTGCAACCGTGAAGTTACAAGACGCAACGTTACCGTCTTGGTCTGCGACTGTGTAGGTTACCATGGTAACATTACCAACGGGAAACATGTCACCAGGGTGATGGCTGGCGTTCCATAGCAACGGCGAGTTCGGATCTAATGCTGTCACGACAGGCCACGCCACGGGGACTGATTCTATGTTGAGGTCCACTAGACGATAAATGTCGCCCGGGCAACCGGTGGTGAAAGTAGGTGGGGTCAGATCTGTGGCGCAAAAAGTTCACCAAACAGAGAACAAGAAGTGGGCACGTGGCCGGTTCACTTGACACAACCGTTTTAATTGATCGTGCGACGTGGTTTCTTACAATATGGTTGTATCAAGCGTGACTACGTTTTATTCACGTACGCCTCACTTACAGACGAATACGCAGAGGAGTGTAGGCTAACAAATCTGCAGCGTCTACTACAAACATTACTTTCCATTACCAGAAACAAATACGCCGCATGTTTTGAAACGTCACTTGTGAGGAAATGCGACTCAGTTTTGGGGTAATGATTGCGCTTAGTTTTTATTTCAAAAAAAAAAAAAATGTTTCTATGTTAAAAGTGTTCGGGTGTAAGAAATGGAAATAACTGCCTACCTATGACAGTGATTTGCGTGATGCAGGTGGCAATGTTGTTGCTGGCATCTTTCGCAGTGTACTGCATTACATAGAGGGACTGCTCAGTATCGAACCTGACTCTGTCGTTGACATGATACTCATACGAAGATCCAGCTATGTCAATGACTATTTCAAACCATCCGCTGTTATCGGATGCAGAGGCTGCGTCGAGTAAGATAAATGTTGCGAAGTTTTGCTTTGGATCTGTCTGAATCGTCTGATTGGATGGGCAGGAAATCTCTGGCGGCTGAGTATCTGAAAGAAAACGTGAATAATCCAATTCATGCCAATTATTATTCGCCACCGGACACGAGAGTATTGCTTTGTGTTTAAAGTCGATTGGCCCTTTACCACCGGATTAACATGATAAATGAAAAAAAAGTGAAACAGGAAATATTTTATTACAATCTAAACAATATTTAACATGTTCAGGAAAGGATGCTTAACACAGAGGAAACTCTCTGAAGAACACGCTTTGCATCAAAAGTCAGCAGAAATTGCTGTTAAACAAATTTCAAAAAAAAATATTTTGCGAAGTTTCAAAACGACGAAGTCATCAGACGAGAAGAATAATCATAGAACCATTTTGTGTGTGCTAGAAATCAACGATTAAGTACCCAACGATCAATACACAATCAGCTCAATTTGTTGACGTTAAATGGTAGGTAATTGTTGTGACATCATCAAACCTGAAGCAGTGCATACACAAACACCTTTGTGTAATTTCTATTCACATACAAATATATTCCTTTGACTGCATTCGGTCAAACAAACTGAGAAACGAGTCTGAATTGAACGCATTACTTTTGACTTAACAGGGACTGTAGGCCAATATCACAAAACATAACGGTTCGGGATAACAAAAACGTCATACGTCTATAGTAATTTATCCCATTACATTTTATCGTTTTTTTTCCGCTTACCCTTATAAGTGATTTGCATGAGGCATTGTGCGACGTTGTTGCCAGCATCTCTTGCAACATATTGCAATACGTGTCGGGAGTTGGCAGTGCTCAAACTGACAGAGTCATTAACACTGTACCAACCATCCACGTAAATGGCGATGTCAAACCATCCACTGTTGTCAGAAGCGAAGGTTACATCAGGTAGGGTAACCGTAGTAAAGTTCTGGTTTGGATCTGTCTCGATGGTCTGATAGGGTGGGCAGATGATGACCGGCAGCTGAGTGTCTGAAACAAAACATTGTTAATCTTCAAACAAACTCATGCAGACGGGATGAAAGCTGACTTCACACATAGCGTGTGAAGTCAGTTGATGGGTCATTCAGTGGGTGGTGGGTGGGTCGGTGGATCCAGGACGATGTGACAATCGGCCATTCAGTCAGTCAGTCGGTCAGTGGTTGGTCGTTTAATTAAATGGTGGGTTGTGGAGTCGTTGTGTCGGTCAGTGGGTTGTTGATATGTCGGTCGGTGGGTCGGCAAGTTGGTCAGTCAGTCGATCAGTCAGTGATAAGATGGTCAATGCGTCATTGGTCGTTGAGTCTATCGGTCAGTTGGTGGGCCGATAAGCTCTAGTGGGATGGTCAGTTTGTCATTTTGTCAGTCAGTCGGTCGATCGGTCGGTCTGCATGATATTATCTGCATCATGCAGCTCAATAACGTTTTAGCTGTATTGGTAGCCATGACACACTATGCCCCATTAAAGGTAAACTAGAGACCTCTAATATGATGAGGGCGCAACACAGTTACATCTTCTGGGATTACACTGGTTGCTATTATACGCCGTACTTCGCGTAAAAAAATGGCATTATTTTACCGTTGTTATACAACACAGATCCTGATTGTCTGAATTTTGTATTCATTTTGTTGTATTTGTTAATTTATTTATGACTACCTATACCTCTAAGGGCGACCATATGGTAGTGCAAATATTACGGTCGCGATCGTCTGATCCACCTGGCAGGTCAGCCAGCCAACCAACCAGCCAGCCAGCCAGCCAGCCAGCCAGCCAGCCAGCCAGCCAGCCAGCCAGCCAGCCGGGAAGCCAGCCGGGGAGCCGGCCAGCCAGCCAGCCAGTGAGTTGGTTGATCGGCCGGTTAATATGTCAGTCAGTCAGTCAGTTGGTCAGTTTGTCGATCGGTCACAACGAGGAAGGTAGGCTGGCACTTCGGGTGCAGCTGAAATTGAAAGGTTGCATTTGAACTCATTGTTATTTCACTATTTTGAGTGTATTTCGTGTAATGATGGCCTACCACGAACGGTGATTTGCGTGCGGCACGATGCAACGTTGTTGATCACATCACTCGCAGTGTATAGCAATACGTGTGGAGAGTTTGCAATGCTCAAACTGACAGTGTCATTAACACGGTGCGTAGAACCATCTACGTCAATGGTGATTTCGAAATATCCGCTGTTGTCGGATGCAGAGGCTGCGTTGGGGAGGGTTAATGTTGCGAAGTTCTGGTTAGGATCCGTCTCGATCGTCTCATCGGATGGGCATGTGATGACGGGGCGCTCAGTGTCTGTACCGAAACATTAAGACAACAATCACACATGATGTTACATTATCAAATTTCAGTTTCAGTTAGTCAACACGTCTGTAAAATAAGATGTTCTCCTTGTGTATATAAGCTGGTACATAAAAATACATAAAGGTAATGGCGTCCATATATATTTCTATGGTTCTCATGTTATGTTGCCTTTGAAGAAGGGTCGGTCGGTCTGCAACACGTTTGCCCTATACATGGCTAAATTAAATGATGCCAAGTGCATTTATCCGTAGTTACGTTTTAGCAATGAGTTTATACATCAGTTGATACCTTTGGCAAGATGTAGTTGGCTTATGGCAGCCATGACACACCATGCCCCTTTAAATTTAACTAGAGCCCCATTTATGATGAGGGTGCAACACCGTCGCATCTTCTGGTTACCTGAATTGTGTATTTATTATTGTTTTGTTTATTAATTATATTCATGACTACCTCTATCTCTAAAGGCGACCATTCGGTATTGTCTCATCAGCTTGGCAAACTATGATAGAGGGCGGGGGGGGGGGGGGGAGCGCAGTTTTTTTTATATAAGAAACATAACGGATATTTTCGCCCAATTAACAAGACTGAATCATGATATCGCAGCAGTTTTAAACAAATCTATATGTTATTTTAGTTAATTTTTATGTATGCAATATGTATCCCTGAGCATTTTTAAAATGAAGATATGCTGTTCAAATGGTTGGGAATTCACAATTAACCATTAACAAAGTGATTTCTATATAGGCACCTATATGTGAGGCTTCACATGAAATTGTGAACATTTTTTATTATTTAATCGACTCATTATATTTAAATTAAATTTGTTGTTAAATGTTTATCAGCAACTCACCCCGTGTAGGAGAACACTTTACACCAATGCCGCTACTACCATCACAACCTTCAACATTCCCCCATCCCCTGTGACTGCACTGATCAATGCTGGATTCACTTCCAGTACATACGACGTCATGAAAGAGTATTGGTGCTGTTGTTTGACCTAAGTGAGCGTGCAAGTTTACCACAGGAGGTAAATATCCAAGCTGTCGACAGACTACATTGGCCGGGTGTATGCTCCATTAGTTATTGTGACAGTTAGTACCCCATTGTCCTTGATAGTAAACTTCCACTCTCCCCTCAGAGGGTACACTACCGTCTACAAGGCGCACTGGTACTGGAATGGATTAAATGTTAGAATTATGGAGCTTCGGTTCCCAATTAAAAAAAACAATTGGAAAGTCTGAGATGCACATTTAAAGAGAAATGGGATTCAGTTCAGGGCGGATACGAGGGAGCGGTTGCGTTGGCTACCCGTCCAAATGAAAAAAAAAAATAATCATAAAAGAAAATCTAATTTCCTTAATTAGTACGTACGTTTTCTGAATAACGCCGTCAAAATTGGAAATATGGTTTCATTGCCTATTAGGCCGAATTAAAAAAACATGTTTCTCGTCCGGGTTTTTGAAAAAAAAAGAGGAAAAGGCGCTTTTTATTTTGTATTTATTAATCTTTTTCAAGATGGCAGCCATTTTAAACTTTCCTGCAACCGTAACGGTTTGAATATAGTTCAATCCAGCTGCTGGCCATACTTTGTGTCCTTGGGCAAGCCACTTCATCCCCACTTGCCTCTCTCCACCCAGGAGTATAAATGGGTACCTGCATTAGCTAGACTGGCATCCCATCCAAGGGGAATAGAAATATTCTCAATCGTTTTATGCCACTGAAACCGGACATAAACGTCGGCCTGATGGGCCATATTGGCTCGGGACAGACTTTACTTTACTTACTGTTAATTAATGCAGTTTATCTTATGACTGTTTTTACCTGTCTTTCTGATTTTTTTTTTATATTGGACAGTGGTCTGTGATGTCTTTTGACATGTAAAGCGTGTTTCTTTCTTTTTTGATATTGACTATTACTTAGCGTTATCACTAATCATTGGGTCATGCGTTAAAATGACTTTCTCGATACGGTACAGGAAGCTGAAGGTCGGGCCTCCATTACACACACAAACAATTCTAACAGTCCAATCATTAAAACATAACCCCCGTTTGTTACACGATTATGGCGGCTCCAGGATTTTCCAAAGGGGACGGGTGAGGTGTTGAAATCAATGCCAAAAAAAACATACCAAAAGGCTTTTATTAGAAGACAAAGTAAAAACAAACCCATGTTTCTCGTCCCCGCCCGCCTCCTTTTTGGAGGCCGCCTGGATTTTGTTTTAATTATTTTTTATTTTTGAAAAATGCATTAAAAAAAACATCGAAAAAGTCCACAAATTCTTCAGAAAATAAATACTTGCGAAATAGATGAGTCGAATTTTTCAGTATACATGTACTCTAAATGACACTTTGAAAATAAATACTTGCTAAATATGTGAGTCGAATTTTTCAGTATACTCTAAATGACACTGTAAATATGTTCAGGTGTCTTGTCCAACTTGTCTTTTATTTTAAAAGTGTCTTTGAACAGTGGAAACACCAACGGTTCCCCATTGGCACACATCTGTAGATGTCACACACAAGTGCATGCCTATTGTTTGGTTTAAGGAAAGTCAATGTCAAAGTTGACGTTAAATTGTTTTGCAATATGAGTTTGACATGAAACATATCCAAATGCCCCAGTTTCCGTGTTGGCCCAGCTGGCATCGTATTTTTTGTAGGACTGTGTGGAGAAGGAAGTAGAAACAAACATATTTTCTGATTGACTTAAAATGCGCAGTGTCTGAATTTTTGGTTAAGACTGCATAAAAAAATACTTTAAAAGGTGGCCACTGAAAGAGTTAAAGAAACTATACAACATTCGCTGTAATTTTCAGAAGTGGATGGATTTGGGGGTTAGTATTTTATAGCAAATATTGTACACACTGACCTGCTGAAAGATTTGAGTTCATAGATACTGGAAAACAAAAACAAGAACGAAAAGCCTGTAAAAGTAGTCTGGTTCCCGGCCTTACTTCAAACAAAACGGGCAATTTATAGACGTCGTGGAATTCTCAGGTCGAGGAACCCGACTAGCTGGCTTGCGCCCGTTCGTTGTGTAACTAACTGCAAACACAATGTAAACTAACTAAATTCGGTAAACTAGGGGCAGATTTCGAAAAAAAAGAGACAAAATATTTTTTTTTAAATAGCTTTTTTTCTCCAACGATGGTCAGCCCATCATCGTTAAAAATCAATACAAAAATTCCACTTGTCTTGGAAATGACAGCACGGCAGGTGCCATGAATATACAGGATGGTTGAGACTAGTAATCATTTACAGTTAAGTAAGGTATTTCATAATAATTTGGTAGTTTACTTTTTTGCACAATTGTAAATGTTGTATATCACCTTGACAGGACTACGAAATAAATTGTTCATGATTCATACCCTCTGCTTATATCAATGCATTTGGATTGTATGAAAAGAACTGGACACCCTTTTATTTTGCATTATCGCTATTTATAAACTTCATACTATTTCTTTTCAGTAAAATGTAAATTTTTGGATTCATACAGTTTGGGGTTTCATTACTTTATTACTTGTATAATATGCATCGTCACGTGACACACGATGATCCTTTTATCACCCTAAAAAGGTTGCCCGCATCATTCACACCTTGGATGCCTCCAAGGCCCTAATGGAATCCTTGTTATTGAAAATGTGTTGAACTTTCTTCTGTTCTTGCCAAGGTGTTTAACATGTGCTTGTCTGAATCAGTGTTTCCTTCATCTTGGAAAGTGGCATGCGTTGTCCCTATCTTCAAGGGTGCTTGTAAGCTGGCGAGTTTTGAATCTACTAATTATCGTCCTATTAGTCTGCTTCCAAAAATTAGCAAGAGCTTTGAATGATCATTGGATACTCGGAGCCGGAGGACAATGACTTTCTCACTGACTGCCGGTATGGATTTCACCATTCCCGCTCGACTGGTGATCTGCTGTCCTAATTACTGACCAATTTTAATAGGGCATTAAAAACAGGGGTGGAGCTCTTGTTGTAGCATTGATCATCTCAAATTTGATCTTCGACAAAGTCTGGCATAGTGGTCTTCTCTACAAGCTCAGGCTGGAATCAAATGGTGTGGCAGGTGGAATGTCGTCTATCATCTCAAATTTCCTATCCAACCGCAAGTTGAAAGTTGTCCTTAAAGGTCAATCTTCTCCCTACCCGCACAGTCAATTCTGGTGTTCCTCAGAGCTCGGTCCTTGGTCCCATTCTCTTTCTTGCATATCGTCAGACCCCCTAAAGCTACGCGTCCTTTTTCTACGCATTTTCGTTCAATTAGTGTGTGACAACGCGCGCGCGTATGCAAGCATTTAATACCTGCGCAGATAATGGAGGGTTGAGGATAATTAACGATCCCCCCGATTGTCTCAGCTCGCTATGTACGCTGACGACTTGCATTCAACCCTCTACAGTGTTTGTCCTATGAACTCCTCTAATACTTCTCGCAGTGAAGTGGCCTACTCACTTAACCGGGATCTATAGAAAGTTTTGAGATGGGGAAACGACTGGTTGATAACCTTCAGTGAAAACATTCATATGGGTTCGTCGACTTTGCCTGATGTACCGGACTATCACGCCTTCTCGCGCTCGACATATCCACTAATACTAGCTATAACACACCTCTTGCTTGTTCTTTATCCAGGTTGGCTGAAACGCGGTCACGTGTGGTTCACTAATATAGGCTAGTGCATGAAATTTGCGTCAGCGTGAACTAGACGCGCGTCAAGATATCGCGCGCGCGTAATTTCCGGATACCAATGGCCGGACATAACGTAATAAACTTGAGCAATTTTGTCCGTACAGCGTTTCTTTACTTTAATGCAGCAAAGTGATGATGTCATGCAATTTTAGAAATCGAAGATGGCGTCCTAAATTTTCACTGAAACAAAACACAAAAAAAAGTCCCCAAATTTGCCCCTTAATCATGACTTACGCAATGACTTATGGTGCCATACAGCAATTCTGACAAATAACTCTAGTTTCCACATTGAGGGAGATTGGGCTGGCCCATAAAGTCTACCTGATCAGGCACTATACTCAACAATCCGTTCCTTTTAATAATAATAGTTGAATTGCTTATAGTTAAATTGCTTATGAGGTAATTGTTGAATTAAAACAGTTCAATTATCAAACCCTGAAATACTTCTTTTCTTATTTTATATTTTGGACAGAGGTGAGTTATAAAACACAAATGGACTGGCATAATTCAGTCACTAGTGCACGTCTACGCCCCATCGGGCTTGTGGTCACTCACAGTCCCTTGGGCGCATAGACGTGCACTAGTGACCTCATTGCCAGTCCAAATGTGTAAACTAGGAGAAGTATAGGAGTCAAGACCTCAAAGTCCGAGGCCGAGACCGAGACAGAGACCTCATAGTCCGAGACCAAGACCGAGACTTCCCCATCCGAGACCGAGACCGAGACCTCATTAAAAAAAATAATTAATTAATTAATAAATACATAAATAAATAACGTGCGAGGGCACACTCAATCCAAGATGGCGGCGCCCAAGTTCCATGAAAACTTTGAGGACCGAAATAGATCACTCAGCTTCAATCCTACTCAAGTCAAAGCTTGCTGATAATTTGATTACTTTTTTAACATGAAAATAACTATTATTAGACGCAAGGCCGAACTCGTCTCTGCCTGGTCGGTAATTAGACTTGATATCGTATTTTGTCTGTGAACTTCAGTCGAACACCATCTAGTATAAGACTAGTACTAATCGGCCGGGCTGCGACTAGATATGTCACATATCTAACGACTTGAAGGTTACGTTCTCCACCGTTATTCATATATTCGTGAAGCGCACTGCAATGCAAATGAGGACTCGTTCATTCCGTTATATGGAAAGTTCTTCTCAATACGTCGGGACATGTTTGCAGATCGGGCGACGTTTTAACGGCCAAATCACTCAGCTTGTTCAATTGTGTATAGAAATAAAATGTATCATTGTGATATACTTGTGATATGACACAAAGCACAAGTAATGAGAGTGCTCGCATAGAATTCGCCAGTGATTCAAAATACTCCCATATGTTGTGTCAAAATAGAAAACGTTTTCGCCAAGTCGGTTATTGAACATCAATAGTCAGCATCATTTGGTCTGGGAACCAGGCTTCGCGCATTGCAGTGATATTTTGCGTGCGTGGAACCGGTACCGTACGTACGTGAACAATAGCCGACTTGGTACTAATTAAGTCTAGTCGGTAATACGCTTCTGACTGAAACAAAATCTGTTGGTAGCCGATGAGTGCTTTCGTTTTCCTGATGTTTTGTCCACAAACTAATCATGCTCCTTAAAAAGCAAAATTTATGTTTAACGAATTACTTGACATAATTTCTAATTCGACAAGACAGCACTTTATGATAATTAAACGTCAACTCAAAATAATTTCTGAAATATTAACGTTACACCGTAATACTACGAGCGAGAACCTTTCAGCATGGATGTTTACATGCAGAGACTAAGTAAGATTTGAGGCTTTGCATGGTGAAGATACTAAATAATGAAAGGTTTGCGGAAACACCATGTGCGAATAATTTCTCAACTAAGAGAATGGTTCTGAAAAGAACCAGAGGTATAAACTCGACGTTCCGGTCAGTATGCTCTGACCTCTCCTGAAGACGGTCAGAGCATACTGACCGGAACGTCGAGTTTATACCTCTGGTTCTTTTCAGAACCATTCTCTTAGTTGAGAAATTATTCGCACATGGTGTTTCCGCAAACCTTTCATTATTTATGCAGAGACTACACACATCCACCGTGCGTGCAGTGTGCAATGTATTTTTCACACAGTCTATAGTTGTCGCCATCAGTCAATGCACGCACGTGACGGACGTCACAACATCCTGTTTGTAAATGGATTTTGACAAACAGTAATGCTACTAACTGAGCGGCGATATGCTAGCGATAAGCGTGCTCTCCCTGCGGAAATTCTTTTGACATGCACTATGCGTTATGATTTGCCCTGGTGATACAGTGTCGACTCCATAAGCGGTTAATCGAACAATTGTCTTTAAACACTGAAATATTTAACGGGCCTCGTCAAGGTCTTGATCCGAGACTCTTGTCCGAGACCGAGACATTTGGAGTCGAGACCGAGACCACAACATTCCGAGACCTCAAAATCGTCGAGACCTCAAAAAAATGGTCTCGGGACTAGTCTCGAACCCAGAAAAAGACTTTGGTCGAGACCTCCAACACTGAGAAGTATACCTCAGGTACGGTATCGCTAAGAGTGCTTCCATGCGAGTCGACTGTCTCTATCGAGCTCAGAAGTTTTTTCCCCCTGAGGATATTCTGCACTAGTATAAGACAACTATATACGTCCCCGGATGGAATCTTGTTCCCATATATGGAAAGAGCTTCTGCCTGCCATTTTTCTCTTTTAGATCAGGTGCAGAAGCGAATCGTTAATTTGGTTGGTGAGGAGTTGGGCTAATCATTACATTCCAGTAGCCACCGTCAGTCTGTTCGACAGATATTTCAATGGAAATTGTTCCACAAGTTTGTTTGACTTGAATCCTCCTGTCAGGGTGTTAGAGCGTCTAACCCGGCTCTCTGCTACCTCCCACCCATGCACTCTAGCGGTGCCGATATGTAGAACATATACTAATTTAATAGCTTTTCCCACGTTCTGTGTCTCTTTGGAACTGCTCGCCCGTTGGTTGTTTCCCTCCGTACTCATGATCGGGCGTCTTTTAAGAGAAATGTCGATTCCAACCTTTAGCTATCCAGATTATTTGTTTTTTTCTTTTTTTTTTCTCCCTCCCTTATTTTTTTTTTTAAAGACATTTCTCCACAGGGTTTGTACACGTTTTTCTTTCACCAGTACACTTTGGCACTTTTGTTAATCCGATCGACTTTAGACTTGGCACATAAGCCTACTTACACCAACACCCTGATGGTCCGAGAAGATTTTCGTCATCATGACGTGATCAAAATGCATTTTTTTCTCCACAGGTTTTGTGCACATTTTTCTTTAAACCATATACTTAGAAATAATCCTAATGACAAGGAATTTTTGTGTCGCAAACCATCTAGATCAATTCCTCGTGGTGCAATTGGTAAAAATACAGAATTTCATGCAAAAAGGATAAGGTAAACTTGGGTTAGGTGACAGTTTGGGTTTGTGCACAAGTCTATGGGAAAGTCGCCCTATTATAGCATTAGTAAGCATTGTAATTATTATTAGTAGTAGTATAAAGGATGAAAAGTAGTTTTCACCATACTGTATTTTTGAATCAATCTCAGATGTCACAAATTAGTCTGAGCTAAATATTTAAAAATGACGAGCTAAAATGTTTTATTATTGTGAAAAAAAAGGATTATTTTCATTAACTCTCCAATCAACACAAAACAAAACCAGAGCCTTAAGATAAACAAAAGTAACACCGAATACCAATACAAGTATAGGATCGTCAACGGTTAAAATTATTTTCCCAAATATTATTTGTGAGACATTCTGCCCAAATGAGACAGAACTGGGCACAGGCCATAACGGAGAAAAATGGGGAAAAAAACGAATTGAAAGGTGATTCCAATTTTTTTCTTTTCAGATTGTTGATATTTGTTAATTTGTTAGACTGTGTACTACACCTTTAGTGAAAACAATTGTGATAAAAAGTTTCTTTCATTTCCACGACTACAACACTCGAACTTTAAAGGCCTTTTTTTCTAAATATTAACTTTTTGACATGTCAATATAAAACAACTTTAAACAGTCATAACTTGTCAACGGAAGTGCAACAAACAGTAATGTATGGACAATTTCATTCTCTTTCCTCATACCCGCAAATGATCACTTGGACTACTTCTGCCCTGGTTCTGTCTCAATTTGCCTGAACGCCTCACATTTTGCCTAATTAACCAGCTCCCGAAGGCAAGGAAAGCGAGGATAGCAAACGTCACAGAGAAAGATCTCCCTGAACTAATGCTGAACTTGGCGTCCATGACAAGTCGGAGTCTGTTTTTATTTACCAATTTCTCAGCCACTAATTGATTGATCTGCAATAGTTGATTGAATTTAACTTACCTAGGGCAACCACTTGGAACTTGCATCCAAAGGCAAGAAAAGCGAGGATGGCAAACGTCACAAAGATAGAACTCCCTGACCTTATGTTGAACATGGCGTCCATGACAAGTTGCTGTATAGTTATTTATTTACCAAACTCTCACGAACTCGATCATTTTCCCGGTGTCTTTATCAATGAAAACATGTACCAAACTGGCTGCTTGCAAGATGAGAAATGAGGAGGAGACAATGTTTAGTACAGACTTTACATTCCGGATATGATAGCACACATCCGTTGATGTCACACACCAGTGCATGCCTATTGTTGGTTAAAGGAAAATCAATGTCAAAGTTGACGTTAAGTTGTTTTGCAAAATGAGTTTGACATGAAACACATCCAAATGCCCCAGTTTCCGTGTTGGCCCAGCTGGCATTGTAATTTTTGTATGACTGTTTGGAGAAGGAAATAGAAACAGACATATTTCCTGATTGACTGGATACACAGACTGTCCGTGAATGTTTGGCAAGGACTGCATGAAAACAATGGTGGCCAGTGGAACAATTAAAGGTAATATACAACATTTGCTTTTGCTGTAATTTTCAGAAATGGATGGCTTTGGGGGTTAGTATTTTATAGCAAATATTGTACACTGACCTGCTTTAAAGTTTTGTGTTCGTAGATGCTGGGAAAAAAATATAAAAACAAAAAGCTGTTCTTGTAGGTTCCCTGACCCTACTTCAGACAAAACGGGGCAATTTATAGACGCCGGGGAATTGTCAGGTCAAGGAACCAAACTAGCTGGCTTGCACCCATTCGCGGATGTTTAACTGATTGCAAACAAAATGTGAACTAACTCGGTGAACTGGGGGCAGTATTTTAAAACAAAAAAGTCAGGTTATATTTTCAACGGTGGTTGGCCCAACATCGTTGGAAGTCGATACAAAAATTCTACTTGTCTTCAAAATGATAGCACACCAGGTGCCATGATTTCACAGGATAGTTGAGACTATATCACTTTCAGTCAAGTAAAGTATTTCGTAATAATTTCATAACAATTTGGTATGTTGTAAATCAGCTTTGAAGGGCTACGAAATTAATTTGTCATGAAACATACTTTCTGCTTATATTAATGCATTTGGCTGGTAGAAACGAACTGGACACCCTATATTTTTGCATTATCACTATTTATAAACCTCATGCTTTTTCTTTTCAGCAAAATGTCAACTTTTGGATTCATGCTGTTTGGAGTTTTATTACTTTAATTATAATGCTGAGTGTCAAGAACAACATAATGCATCAACTATTGACCTCGGAAATAAATGGAAAGCGGGTGTCTTCTGTATTATAACAGCTTGGACACTTAAACCTTAAAGGTGTTGCAATGATTAAAAAGATTTGTTTTAGCATAAAATCTTACAGCTGCCAAATGTGGTCACTGAATAGCTTTTTAAAAGGCTCACCGACATTGGCTTCTTTAATCTAAGGCCACATGAGGCAAGTATCACTCATGGTCAAGTTTGAATGTACACACAACAAAATGCTGTACAATGAACATGTATGTGCTACTTAATTTTTTCTGTGCTCAAGATAATAAGAACAGGAAGAAGTGACTATCGCATGATTTTAGATCCGGGTTTGATGTGTCCATTCCGGATCAATAACTGTCCCAACTTGGCAATCGGTTTAAAGTCAAAACAAACACTGCACGGAAAAGCCATTTTTGTGGCTTGTTTGTTGTTTTAGATGTTAAAAACCCCGATGGTTTGGTTGTTGGGAGCCGTGCCCTTCAATAGAGCTGTAAACATTTCAGCCGAGAACAGAAAAAGGGTTGCTCAGCGAAAGCAGGCAACGGTCAAACTTTCGTGCGACGGGTATTGCTAAGGCCAAACGAAAAAATGGTGTGTTTACGGTAACCCGACCGACCTGGAAATTTTTCGGCCAAATTGCCGACCTCAACCTTTTTATTGCCATTATGAAGGTTGATAATAGACTAATTTCAAACATTTCAAGTACTTTTAATTATTTGCCACCAACAAAATCCATTTTCCACACTTGAATCTGACCATGATTTGACACAAACATACCTGTGTTAAATGTGCGAAAATCGCGACGATCTCAAAACTTGAAATCTCAAACTACGAAGTACGATTCTTTTTTGCACAAACGCATCGGGGTGACCCGGTACGCCTGGCTGGCCGACGGACGGCATGGTTCTCCCCACGTACAAACGTGCGTACTGCGTATCGGCCTGATACGTTGGAATTGCGGCCGGTGTGGAAGGTAATTCTGTCCCCCGGTAAAAGTGTCCGGGGGGACAGAATTACCTAGGAAAAAGTGTCCTCCCTGGCCCGTTAATTCTTTTCCCCTCCAGGTAATTCTGTCCCCCAGGTTTTTTTGTCCCCCTCTTTTGAAACCCGGAAGGTTATTGTTTTGATGAATTCACTCTACAAGGTATACATTTTGGACTTTTAGTCTGCCCTTCATGAATATAAAAAATAACTAGAAATGTGTTTGTGTACAAACACAAGCTGTTTCGGATATTTGAAATACTCTGTGCACGTGACGAACAATCAGTGACGTCACTGTAAATGTCATCTATATAACAGCACATTATAATACGTACATGTCAAGTCCAACATTATAGTTCTGTAGATATAGGCCTATAAAAGAATAAAATTCCTCTTTAAGCGACGTCATATGACATTTGATGATGACGTCACTTCAATTTTTATCTATAAACCATCCCTGTGAATGTGCATACAAAGTTTTAATCTAATCGGACTTGTACTTTCGAAGTTAAAGCGATTCGAAGAAATGCTCATTTAATTTCACGGCACGTGACACATGATGACGTCATCGTTATGAACTCACTGGGGACCACCTTAGGCTGCTGCTCTTACTAGTGTCTGACAAGTGTTAAGTCAATCAGACATACATGTATAGAATTAAAAAGTGTATCAGTTTGAAGAAAAATGTGTACAAAACCAATAGGGAAACAGTGCATCTTTATTGTGATGTAACCTAACACCTCATGACGCCACGATGACGACTTTCTTCTAAGACCATCCGTGGGTGGTAGTCTAAGTGGGTTCCAAGTCTAGCATGGATCGCATTTACGAAAGGGCCAAAGTATACTGTTTTAAAACGTGTACAATTAACCCTATGGGGAAAATGCATCTTTAATGTGACGTAACCTGAAACCTGATGACGTCACGAGGACGAATTTCTTCTATGACCATCTATGGGTAGTGGTCTAAGTGTGTACCAAGTATAAAGTCGATCGAATTTACGAAAGTGCCAAAGTGGAGCGTTTTAAAACATGTACTAAACCAGAGGGGAAAATGTGCATCTTTAATGTGAAGTAACGTGACACCTGATGACGTCACGATCACAAGTTTCTTCTAGGACCATCTGTGGGTGATGGTCTAAGTGTGCATTAAGTGTAACGTCGATTGGATGTACGAAAGTGCCAAAATGGAGCGTTTTAAAATGTGTACAAACCCTATGGGCAAAAATTTATATTTAATGTGACGTAATCTAACATCTGATGACGTCACGGTCACGAATTTCGTCTAGGACCATCTATGGGTGGTGGTCAAAGTATGAATTAAGTCTAAAGTCGATCGTATTTACGAAGATGCCAAACTGGAGTGTTTTAAAACGTGTACAAAACATATGGGGAAAAATGCATCTTTAATGTGACGTAACCCGACACCTGATGACGTCACGATCACAAATTTCTTCTAGGACCATCTGTGGGTGGTGGTCTAAATGTGTGCTAAGTCTGAGGTCGATGGCATTTACGAAAATGCCAAAGTGTATGGGTAGAAGAAAAACGTGTACAAAACATATGACAAAACGTGGAAAAATAAGTAAAAAACTAGAGATGTGTTTGTGGACAAACACAAGCTGTTTCGGATATTCGAAATACTCTGTGCATGTGATGAACAATCAGTGACGTCACTAAAAATGTCATCTATAACAGCACATTATACGTACATGTCAAGTTATAACCAAATCGAACATAAAGGTCTGTAAATATAGGCCAATGAAGAACAAAATGCCCCTTTAAGGGACGTCACATGACATTTGATGATGACATCACATGAATGTTCATCTATAACCCATCTTGGCATTGGTACGATCACGAATTTCTTCTAGGACCATCTGTAGGTGGTAGTCTAAGTGTATACCAGGTATAACGTCGATCGCATAATTTACAAAAGTGCCAAAGTAGAGTGTTTTAAAACGTGTACAAACCCTATGGGGAAAAATGCATCTTTAATGTGATGTAACCCAACACATGATGACGTCACGATCACGAATTTCTTCTAGGACCATCTGTGGGTGGTGGTCTAAGTATGTATTAAGTCTGAGGTCGATCGCATTTATGAAGGTGCCAAGGTGGAGTGTTTTAAAACGTGTACAAAGCATATACGGAAAATGTGCATCTTTAATGTGAGATAGCGTAACAACTGATGACGTCACGATCACGAATTTCTTCTTGGACCATCTGTGGATGGTGGTCTAAGTATGTATTAAGTCTGAGGTCGATCGCATTTATGAAGGTGCCAAGGTGGAGTGTTTTAAAACGTGTACAAAGCATATAGGGAAAATGTGCATCTTTAATGTGAAGTAGCGTGACAACTGATGACGTCACGATCACGAATTTCTTTAAGGACCATCTGTGGGTGATGGTCTCAGTGTGACCAAGTGTAACGTCGATCGTATTTACGAAAGTGCCGAAATGGAGCGTTTTAATACATGTACAAACCCTATGGGGGAAAAATGCATCTTTAATGTGACGTAACCTGACACTTGATGACGTCACGATCACGAATTTCGTCTAGAACCATCTGTGGGTGGTGGTCTAAGTATGAATTAAGTTTAAAGTCGATCGGGTTTACGAAGATGCCAAACTGGAGTGTTTTAAAACGTGTACAAAACATATGGGGGAAAATGCATCTTTAATGTGACGTAACCAGACACTTGATGACGTCACAATCACGAATTTCGTCTAGAACCATCTGTGGGTGGTGGTTTAAGTATGAATTAAGTTTAAAGTCGATCGGATATACGAAGATGCCAAACTGGAGTGTTTTAAAACGTGTACAAAACATATGGGGGAAAATGCATCTTTAATGTGACGTAACCAGACACTTGATGACGTCACGATCACGAATTTCGTCTAGAACCATCTGTGGGTGGTGGTCTAAGTACGAATTAAGTTTAAAGTCGATCGGATTTACGAAGATGCCAAACTGGAGTGTTTTAAAACGTGTACAAAACATATGGGGAAAAATGCATCTTTAATGTAACGTAACCTGACAC